TGGGGATTTAGCTCAGCGGCATAAGCGCCTGCCTTGAAAGTAGGCAGTCGTGAGTTCGATCCCTGGTACCGATAAAAACGAAAAAGACAAAAAAAAATAAAAAAATAAAATAAAATACAAGCAGGCGGTCGTGAGTTCGATTCCTGGTACTGATAAAAATGAAAAAGACAAAAAAAAAAAAAAAAAAGAATTTATACTTAGCCTCTTCTTTAATCTTCTGGGAAAATGTGTATTCCATAAACAGATCCTTGGAAGACCTAACAGTTTTCCTGGGCAAAATCCTTTGCCAGCGATGCCTCTTTTTAGTTCATTCTGCCTCTTTCTAGATGGCCTACGATTGGACCATATACCATCCTAAAACGGTATTTGGGCTCTGGATTTTAGACTTGGTGCTTCTATTTCCAGGTGAGTTCTAGGCTCATCCATAAATCAGTGGCTTTAGTGAGCTTTCACTGTCTCTATTCAGAAAATACCACAGACTTAAAGCAAAAAACCGGTTAGCCACCTGGCATGGTGATATAGGCCTGTAATTCCAGCATTCCAGGATGCTTCCAGGAGGCAGGAGGAGTGCTGGACAAGTTATAGCTCAGCCTGTCTCAAAATAAAAATTAAAAAAAAAAGAAAGCCTGTAATCCCTGTACTCGGGAAGTTGAAGCAGGAAAATCATTGCAAGTTCAAGGCCAGCCTAGGTTACAAAGTGATCTCAAGGTCCGCCTGAACCACATAGTGAGTTCAAGACCAAAAAAAGGGCTAGGGATATACCTCCGTGGCACAAGTGCCTGGCTGGCAACTGCAAGGTTCTGAGTTTGATTCCTGATACCAAAAAAACAAAAACAAACAAAAGACTTATTCCTGGGTGATCCTGATTTCTGTGATCTAGCATATTACCTAGTCTAGCTTTGGTTTTCCCAGGAGAACTCTTAAACTATTCATTAAAACTGCTAAAAAGTTAGGGTCAGGCTTTTCGTGCTTTTCTTCAGTTTACTTTAAGGTAAACTTACCTTCAGAATGTTCATTTTCCTGAGCTGAGGAGCTACCTGAAGATACCTTGAAAGACAAGAGAAACACAGATTCAGCTTAATCTAGGTTCTATCCCACCTAAGCAATAAAATAACAATGGGAGGGGAGATGAAAGGGAGAGAAGATGGGAACAGAAGTGAGGGAAGAACAGAAAGGAAAGAGAGAAGAGAAGAGGAGGAGGGGAGGGAAGAGAGGAGAAGAGATATTAAGCAACCTATTCAAGATCGTAAGGCTGGTAAGGGGTGAAGCAGGGATTTGATTATGCATTGGGCTGGTTCCAAAGCTCAGGTTTACACTGCACTGCCTAAAGAAACAGGTCTGAAAGGCTCAAAATCTGAGCTCAGGCCAGGCTCCTCAAGATTTGCTCAAACTGACTTTATAAACATGGATGCCACACAGGTAACATTGCTTGCGCCCACTCACTCACTCAAGGTAACTGTGGACACCAGAACCACAGAAATACCCACTTAACATTGAGAGAGTCACATTTAAAATCCTCTTCGCACTCCTATCAGTCAAAGAGAGATGCTGAGCTTTCAAGTTTCCTTTCCCAAAGTAGTGTGAGATTAGTGTGTTTTTGTTTTTTGGTTTTATTTTGTAATTTTTTTTTTGTCTTTTTATCAATACCAGGGATCAAACTCACGACTGCCTGCTTGCAAGGCAGGCGCTTATGCCGCTGAGCTAAATCTCCAGCCCCTATTATTTTGTAATGTTTTTGAGACAGGGTCTTGCTATGTAGTTTAGGCTGGTCTTGAGCTCACTATGTACCCTAGGCTGGCCTTGAACAAGTACTTTAATACGACAAACCTTCTGAACTATCTTTGCTCCCTCAAGAGGGAACATTTGGAAATTTCATCATGAACTAGGAACCCTGGAGGGATCATGAAAATTTTCATCCTTTGGCATTATCACTTTTGGCCTCATTTTTTTATGGTAATAACCTTAAACAAACTCAAAGTCAATACTTTTTACCTCCATAGCTTCAATGGTAACATGTAGTTAAAGGCCTTGGCTCGAATCTAGGAAGTTCACTGACAGGAAGGGTCAAGTTGGCACAATAGCCCTAAACTTCCTTCCTCTAATGCAGTGGGGAGTGGATAATTTTCTCTTCTCTCTTACTGCGAACGACTACCAGCTTGGCCTGGCATTCTTAGCAAGGCTACTGGAACAGCAGCCTCATCACTTAACAGCAGGAAGAGGACTGTTACATGGTAAATACACACATGGCATACTACAGCCTCACAAAAGTCTATAAAAGTACAGAAATGGCTACTTCTAGACATTATATAGCACTTATCATATGATACTTACATATGTACTATGCTACCGTTATTTTGTTCATTATCTATCAGAACAGATTATAAATTCCTGGAGCCTACAACTACTTTATACTTTGTATCCCTTGCCATCTAGCATGGAATGTTGTATATAACCCACACTTTTTTTTAATAATTCACACTTTTTAATAAAAAACAGAATATTTGCCCCTCAAATCCTATTATTCTTTTGGGTTTTTGTTTTTCATTTGTAGAAATCCTATGTAGTTCAGGCTGGTTTTGAACTCACTGCGTAGCCTAGGCTGTCCTCAAACGCATGGCCATGCTTCTGTATCAGCTTCCCAAACTCTGGGATTATAGACATGCAGCACACACCCAAATTAAATTCTATTACTCTTCTTCTTTTCTTTTCTTTGGTTGTTTTTTTTTGAGACTGGCATCGCCATATAATTCGGGCTGGCCTTGAACACACAGTGATTCTTCTACGTCAGCCTTTCAAGTGTTTGGACACAGGCATGTGCCACCACACCCGGCCCTATTTTTCTTCATCATTGGTATCTTCTCAGGTGCCTAGAATTGTGGTCAACTCCTCTACTTTCCTCAACAAGTAGGGCTTGAGACACTTAAGCTAGTATTAGAAATGTCTCAAATCTCTCTCATCCCATTTTCACAGCCTTAATTTAGGCTTTACCTCTCTTTGCCACAGCACTCTTTAAACTGATCTCCCCGTTCCAACTCTTATCTCCTCTTCAATTTCTTTTTGTGTTTCACAAAGTTCTCTCACCAAAGCACCTCCAATTTGGAAAGGATTTTCATCTCTAGCAACTGAGGTACTATTTTCTGCAGCAGTTCATTTCATTGATAGAAAACTTTAAGAACACCTCCAAAGCATACTCACTGCCTTGGTCAGAAATCTTTGGTCTGTTCCTTTATAAAACAAAGTTCAAACAGTATGGTATGCAGTACCTCCAACTTGCTCTTAGCCTACTTTTCTAGTCTCTTCACATACTGTAACCCAAATCCAAAGTTCTTGTAACATGAAGCCACTGGCTCACCCCCAATTCTTTGTATATCCCAATTCTGATCAATTTCTTTCTTTCTCTCTCTCTCTTTCCTGAGACGCTGTCTCACACTGTAGTCCAGGATGGCCTTGAACTCACTGTGTAGCCCAGGCTGGCCTACCAAGTGCTGGGATTATAGGCTTATGCCACCAGACCTGGATACCCAATTTCTATACTCTTACTGAACCTTCAATGACCTCTCCAACATCCACTGTAATTCCTCTCTCCTATGCTTTTAAGTCCTTGTGTGAATCTTGATAATAGCACTTACTATGGTTTGTCTTAACCAACAGCTATCACTGGCTTATCCTCACCTCACTCCAGTTAGGCCAAGCATTGTCAAAGTGGGCATTACCCTTTTCTCCTTTTTTGAACCTAATCTAGTTTATAATATGGGCTAAATTTTTATAAATGCTTCAAAAACTATAATACATTTACAAGTAAAAATAATTTATGAAATCAGACTATTCTTGCTCAAACTCGCACTGCAGAAACTGACTCCCTTGTCTGAGTGATCAACTAACTGCATATCACTTTACTGCTTCCTCCTGTCTTCTCATTATCCATGGGACACATAGTCTCTGCAGGCTGAGAAAGGGTATGGTAAAGAATTACTAAGGGCATGTGACTGACTGATCCAAAGAAAAGTGAACCTGCAGTCCTCATACAACTGTAGTTGATAACCAAACCGGGAAGTTAGTGTCTGACAGGGGATAAACCTGTGGAGCCCCAAGTAGATGGGAAGGGTTCCAGAAAAAGGCTCTTGAGAGTGAGATGGGTCCAGACAAGTAGCAGGCAACCTTCCTGAAGCATCTATGGGATGGGGTGACAAGGACTTGCCACAACTGGGTCAATGCCTGCTCACAAAGAATGACATGTCAACATGCCTGCCGAGGCATAGCAGGACGTGACCTCAAACTGTCCAAAGAACGCAGGCACATTCTTTCACGGAAACCTCAATCATAGGTCTGATAAAAGGACTATGATCTCTGAGTGTAACGAGACTTGTCTCTTCTGCCAGGGATTGTAGTAATCACTCTCAAACCACCTGCACACGGGGGTCCCTCACCCAGTAAAGCAGGATTACAACTGTGTTCTGTCATGCAAACGTGACAGAGGCCTTGTGCGCGAAGGGGGAAGGAGGCCTGAGAGTGCCATGTCATACGTGGGCTGCAAGCAGGGAGCCGAGACCCTTGCTATCTTGGGTCAAAGGTACCGCTGACCTCTGGCACAGGCAGGGCCCAGTCCTAGAAGAAGTGCCCGCGAAGGGGCGGAGGGGCAGGGTCTCGGGGACAGAAAAGACACCCAGCAGCTCCGTTTGCTAGGTACCAGCGCCAGTCCCTGCCTGGCCCTCCCCGTCTCTGAATTGAGGGTCTTAGGCTCCACAGCGCCCCCCGCCGCCCTCCTGTGCTCCTCACCGTCTCCATCGTGAGAAGCCGGCCCGGTTTTCGTTTCAGGAAGCTCGGGGAGCAGGCCCCGCCCCGTGTCCGGCGCCGAGACACCACTTCCGCCTGCGTCACAGCAGCCGCGGGCGCAGGGCGGAAGGCGGAGAAGCCACCCTTCCGGCGGCGGCCCGACCCTCCCCCGAGTGCTCGCGGACTTCGCGGGCCTGCTGACGACAAGGGTTACGGAACGGAGCCGCTTGTATTTAAAATGTTCTCTTTTTATTTGTCGTTTAAAAACAAACTTGGAAGAAGCAAAATCCAAAACTTGCCCTTTGCCTCTCGCAACATAAATTATGTACAGTTCAGAATGATCGCTGATACAAAACATGCCAAGGACGGGGGGAGGGGGGGTGAGAGAGCGCTTTAAAAAGGGGAACCATTTCATCCGTTGTTAAGAAGGACCAACCTTGCTGTACAGGATACACACAACACAAAATAAAGTCTTCACGGGATTCACACTTGTCAGCGATTTATTTTTTTAAAAAGGGGGAGGGTCCTGGAGGTGAGGGTAGAAGACAGTAAAGGGGGAAAAACTGAAAATTGAGTATGTGCAAGTGTAAACCAACCCAAAATACAAACACGGGGGGAGGGGGAGGGAATTCTGATGCAATTATACAGGCAGGGTATTTAAAAAAAAAAAAAAAAACCCAAAATTCCAACCTTGTAGCTTGGATCTGAGTTATAGTTTATATAAAAATTAAAAACTGTATAAGGTTTCTTCACTAAGTTCTACAGGACTATCGGATATCTAGCATATGCTTACAAAGTCTGCCCCATCCCTTTCCCAATCCCAGGGCCCAAACCCCAACCAGAGCCTGACTCACAGGAGCCAATCTCCCCTCGATGTAGCCTAGACCTTTATGCACTTGGAAAAGGACCATCCAAGGGCTGTGGCTTTGGGGGCAGCAGCCCAGTCTCCCTACTGTCTGATGTAATTACAGTGGTTCCTGTGGGAGTGGGGGTGTTACTGTCTTAAACATTTGCAGCTTGAACAGTTGAGGAAGCAGCTTAAAAGCAAACAAACAAAAAACTCCCTACCCCCATCAATCCACAACCCTCCAAATTCAAAACAAGACAAAACAAACCTAAAATCACAACAGCGACTGTGCTCCCTCTTCAGCAGGCCCGCCAATCTGCCATCACCAAGCCCACCCCTACACTCCAGACATCTGATTCTTGAAAATATTAATTACAAAATGCCCTTTGCCCACAGACCCTAGGAGAGAACTGCATATAAGCTTCATCTTCATCCCCATGGCTCCCTACCAGAGAAGGGTCTGGGGCCTCACCCACCCCTTACCTACCCCTACCTGGGGGAAGAGGTTCAACTGCAGCACAAGCTTGGGCAGAAAGGGGAAGGAAAAGAAGGCAGAGAACCCATCACCCTCTGGCTCCCCCTGGGGCCAGCTCACTTTTGTGCGTTATAACATAGTCCAACTATACAACGGGGTGGGAATTGCCCGGCCTCTCTCTATACCCCCACCTTACAGCAGTCACAGCCAGGGGGTGGGGAGGGGGTGTGTGAGGAAAAGGGCGGTAGGTTGGGTAATGGAGGGGGCTCCCCCACAAGGGGAGCTCCATGTGTCCGCCCCACACCCCCCTACCATTTATAAACTGGTTTTGTAAAAAGAAAATAGATATATTTATATAGAATATATAAAGCACAAAAATTAGTAGTTTTACATTTGCTCTCCCCGGGGGTGGGGGGAGAGGGGAGGGTTCTCACCTCCAGCCGGCTCCCCCACGCCCCACAAGACTATGTACAATCCCATGTATAAATAGATAAATACCCCCCACCCTCCCCGCGCTGACACTAGGCTCCCCATCCCCACATCACCACCCATTCCCACCAGACCAGCAGCAGTTTGGTGACCGAGGGAAAGTGGGAGCTCTGGGCCACACCCTGCCTCACTGGGTACAGGCACGCCACTCAGGGACAGCCCTTACCCACCCCCCACCCACCCCATCCAGGGGCTGGAGGGCAAATGGGCTCATGATGAGGTTGGGAAAACAGGAGGGAGATATCCTGGTCCTAGGTATAGCACACTCCTCCTGCCCCCATATCCAGATGGAGAAGGAAGTCTAGAGAAACCAGGGGCCAGTCATCCCCAATCTTCATCACCATTTGCTTCAACTGCCATCCCATGCCCATAATTAAAAACAAAGATGGATTTTTTGTTGTTATTTTTTTTCCTCCTCCTACCCCCCTTCCACCCACTCAGAAGAGGGCAGTGAGGTGGGGGAGAGGGTTGGGGCAGTAGGGGGCTTGGAGAGGGTCTCACATTTCAAAACAGCAAAAAATCCAACACTTAAATGAGGTAGGTGTGGGTGCGGGGTCTCCTTGCCCGGCTTGCCCAGCTTGCCCTCCCAGGCAGCTTGATGCCTCTTTCCCATTATGTTGCATTTGTCAGAGTGGAAAACAAGGAAACACAACCCATAGAGAGAAACACAGAGGAGAAGAGGGAGACAGAGACAGATTGAGAGGGAAAGGGATGGGGTGAGGATAGGGGCAGGACCCGGCAGGCAGGGCCAGGTGTGGGACCCGGCCTTTGGGATTGTCAAGCTTAGTCAAGTCTCTTTGCAGCCTTGAATTGGGCCAGAGAGGTTGGTAGGAGCAGCAAGGCTGTGCGGCCGGGCCACACATCCTCCTCCCCCATCCCTGCTGCCTCCCAGATGCTTCTGGGTAGTTACCGGCCCATATCCCCCTCAAACCTGAGATGCCCAATGGCTGTTTCTGTCTAGCCCCTCCGGGAGCTGGGGGCAGAGCAGAGATGCCAGCCTGAGGGCCGGTGGTGGAGAAGAGGTTGTCCCTGGTGCCCAGGGTGGGCTTGGCCTAGGGTCCTCTACCCCAGCCTCCTGCTCCAGGGGCTCCGGTCAGCCGGCAGCCCCAGCCCTGCGTCCTGGCTCTGGCTGCTACCTCTCTTCCCCCTAATCCCTTTCAGGGAAGAGGTCGGGGGTGGGGAGACTCCCCTGCCTGGTAGTCTCAAAGCTTCTTAGTTCATCCATTTCCGACAATTCCAGGCTCCACAGTGACAGGGGATCTTGTGCTGATCGTCCTCAAAATCAAACTGATAGTCATAGGTCAGCTGAAAAGAAAAGAAGGCACAATCATAACTTGCCCCCAGAGGGGAAGGACACAGCCTAGATCTGCTCTTTGGGTAGTGGCATCAGAACTTAGCTCCTGGGAAATGGTAAGGAATTGTCGCTCAGGAGGGTTGCTTCCTTTACCTCCTCTCCTTTGGGGATTCGCCGGCTGGAGATGATAATGATTTTGTCCTCCTTGTCAAATGTCACAACTTCCGCCACACAGTTAGGGGCACAGGAATGGTTAATGTACCTGGGCAGTGGGATAATCAGTGATGCCAAAGCAACTGAGTGGAGACAATTTTACTTCTTTGTTGGCCTATGCCCAGAGGACCACCCACAGAGACCCCTAAATCCCTCCTTTCTTTCTCACCTGGCAGGACCTCCAGTCAATGTGGCATCAATAACATGTTCATTGTTTATTCGAAACATGTAAATGCCTCGGTTCTAGAAAGGCAAAGGTTGCAGAAAAAGGGACAAGAGTATCAGAAAGCAGACTTGAGCTTTGGTTTATATGGCACACACCCCTCTCCCAGCTGTCTGATCCTGTGGACCCAGAACCACTCCCTTGTTCCTTGGCTGAGGGTAAACTACTCAACACAATGGCCCCTTGGCCAGCCCATACCTGCTCCTCGTAGATTTTCTCCCGCCTGTTCGCCACTTCATTACGAATGATGGTGCCAATGTACTCGATGACCATTGTGTGCTTTTCTAGGTCCTTGGCTGCATAGAGCCCCAGACCCTGGATACGGGAGCGAGCCAGATACACGTTGTTCTTCCACTCCGTACGCAGGCGTCGGTACTGAGATGACTTGGAGTGCACAAACTGCTTGCTGTATGGGGTGTTGGTTTCGCCTGTGAAGGTGCTCTGATATGCCTTAGACATGCTGGTGCTGTTCAGGGTATGGGGCCTGGGAGGTGATACAGTCCATGACAAGGCAGCTCGCCCTCAGAACGAGCACACACCACCCACTTCCTCCCTGGGATGTATAACATGCCAGTTAGGGGCATATGCATTGAAGTGCTGCTTCAGGAACAGAGTAGAGGCACCTGGGTCTCAATTTTGCAGAGGCAGCAACTGTCTATGGGGACCCTTCTGATATTGTGGGTGACAGACAGCCCAAGATGGGAGGGCAGATATGGAGGGAAGGGGGGGTACCAATTCCCCTACACTGAGCCTGCTCTCCCATCTCCTGCCATCACTTTCTCCCAGCCTCCTGCCAAACCATACAAAAGGCCCCGCTCCTCTGGGAGGTCTTCCCCAAGCAGCCAGGCCTACAATTTAAGCTGATGGTTTGCTCAAATGTCCGAGTCCTACCTCCTGGCACATGCTCAATGCCCTGAAAACAGGAGCTGTGTCTACCACATTGGGCTGGATCTGAATTAAAATTAGCTGTGAATTCACAGCCTAAATATGTTATCCTTGCCTTTCTTCAGACCATTCCATTCTCTGGCATAACATTGGGCTCTGCGAAGATGGCTCAGTGCAGGGGAATGACTGCTGTCCAGCAGGAGGCCTTTTACCACCCGAGGGCATCAGTTGAATTCTTGCCCATCCCAGAGCAGTGGTTTTCAAACATCTGGGTTCTTTATTTAACAGAGTTTTGTTTTATTTTGTTTTGTTTTGTTTTACAAAATGTTGACTGGAACTCCAATCCATAAACTACGTGAAAAAGGAATTCTGGTAGATTCCAATCTAGAGAAGATAGAATTAAATATGGGGAGGAACATGTTCTGCCCCTCAATTTACATATTCAGGGCTTTTTGGAACATTTGCACTCAGTTTGAAAACCACTGTTGTAGAGCATCAAGGACAGGGCTAACTACAGGTAGAGTCTCTGACACTCTGTGGAGCTACCACAGGCCTTTGAGAAATCCCTGTTACCATGGATTCTGCCTCCCTCTACCCAAGGATAGGTTAATGTAGTACACAGAAATAATAGTGACCCACAAGTTAAGAGGTAAGAGTCTGGTCCCAGCTATGTGACCTTTGTCTAGTCACGTAGTCTTTCTGGGCCTCAGTTTTCTCAGCTGTGAAATGGGGGTCATACCACCTGCCCTACCTACCTCATAAGGTTGTTGTGAGGATCAAATGAGATAATGGATGTGAAAACGCTTTGAAAAAAAAAGTATAAAGTGCTATACAAATGTAAGGTTTTATTACTTTCCTATTTATTTCTATTACTTATTTCTATTACTTATTTGAAACCAACTCAGTCTCGGGAAGGGAAGGTGACCTAGCATTCATGGGGTGTCTGAGGTTTGGGAGAATCACAGGACCCTCTAGAAGCAAAACATACGTGACTAGGCCCCTTATATATTTCATAAAACTTCACCCATAGCCTGTCTACCAAGATCTTGCCCAGTAGCCATTCCCAGAATGCCCAAGACACCTCTGTCCTACAGCCTGGTCAATACCATATACCTTAGCAGACTGGACAGGTGGAAAGGGATACTTTAGTGATATCTGCACACCCTCTAATCAGGAGGTCTGAATGAATCCCCGGTTTCTTGAAGGCAACTCTGATCTGCATCCTAAACCCTCATAATGTGGCCAAAGGATCTCTGCCAACACCCACACCCACAGCCAGTAGCCCAGCTCCGCAAGCTCACCGTTTGTAGTGTGTGAGAATTTTGGGCTCCGATCGGGCACAGCCAGTGGGGTTGATCATGAGTGGCAGTTCCATCAGGGGGTGACGCCCATAGCGGAATAAATAGTTTTGACAGCTCTCCACCCCAGGCAGCTGCAAGCACAGGCAGTTCTCTCTTTAGCCTGAGCTCCTACAGGGTGGAGCCAGGGTTTTCAATGCCCACCTAACCCTCCATCTCCCTGGTCCCTTGCTTACTGATTCAGCTATGCGAAGCACAGCGTGCACCGTCAGGCCGAAGAGCTCCTCACCCTTCAGGTACTCAGGGAAGAGTCGCAGCATATCGGCCTCTTTTCTCATGGCAGCCACAGGCTCAATGATGCGATTCCACACAGCTAGGAGGTAAAGAGGAACCCTCAGAGGAAGCCTCTGCTCATTGATCTACATAACCTAGACCCATTCCTAAACTGTAGGTGTTTTCTATGGTTTTCACACCACCCCATCATCAATGTATGTGCATCTTTAAAGCCTATCCTAGCCTCTGAGTTCCATTCTCCCCTAAGAAGCCAGGTTTCAACTCCAGAAGGCAACTGCAGCTGTGACAAAGAAACACAAGCACAGATCTCAGGGACCCAGCACAGCTCACAGTGCTTGCTGAAAGAACATGTATGTGTGCTTCATAATTGGGAAGGCTTAGATTTGGGTTCTAGCACTTGGCATGGGACCTTGAGTCAAATATTTCAAACTCTCTACAAGATACAATTTCTGTATAAATTGGGCACAATCATAGTATTTATCTTTTTTTTTTTTTTTTTGTCTTTTTCCTTTTTATCGGTACCAGGGATCGAACTCACGACTGCCTGTTTTACAGGGTAGGCACTTATGCCGCTGAGCTAAATCCCCAGCCCATAGTATTTATCTTATAGGGGCATACAAACAAATTAATCTATGTAAGTCACTTAATTTTGTGTTATACAGTAAATGTTCAATAAATGCTATCTGATCTTATTTTTAACATTAACACAAAAACCAAGATCAAAAAACTCCATGTAGCAAAAAACAAATACATGGAAGTTAGGATCAGATGCATTAAATTATGGGGTCTTAGAACCAAATCCTTTACATGTACTGACGATAGGAAAATTAGCTAGAATAGGTGAAAGCAGATAAGAAAAGAAAAAAAATTTTTTTGAGACAAGAGTCTCACTATATGGTTCAGGTTGGCCTTGAACTTGCTATGTAGCCCAGGCTGGCCTCAAATTCATGATCATCTAGCCTCAGCCTTCAAAGTCCTGAGATTATAAGCATGTACCACCCTGCCTTGCACAAGCAAAATATTTTCAATTACAAAGGAATTTAAGGTAACTGACATGGTGAAACATATTATTTGAGTACCCCCCCACTCCAAAGTACTGGGAGGATTGAATCCAAGGCCTTCACACCAACCTACTTCCCAGTATTTTTTTATTTTTTGTGACAGGGATTACGGATATAGCTCAGTGACACAAGCACCTGCCTGGGAAGTACGAGGTCCTAAGGTTGATTACTGGTACCAAATTTAAAAAATGCTATGGTTGTATATTTTGTGACAGAGTCTCCCAAAGTCACTAAGTTGCCTAGGCTGGACTCAAACTTGAAATCTTCCTGCCTCAGTCTCCCTGAGTGCTGGGATTACAGATATGTACCACCATGTTCAGCTTCTCTGGAATTTTTAAGAGATTGACCTAGGAAGCGGGCAAGACTGTTCCTAGAGAGGGTATTGACATTGGAAAGTGATCCCTAGGTCACTTTGCCTAGGTTACCTTTTTTTTTTTTGTCTTTTTCCTTTTTAGGGGTACCAGGGATCGAACTCATGACTGCCTACTTGTAAGGCAGGCGCTTATGCCGCTGAACTAAATCTTCAGCCCCAACTTAGGTTACCTTTTAAAGTGACCCTTGGGAGAAACCTGCCCAGGGTACCATTTCAAGGGCCCAATGCTCACCCTGTGGAGAGGCATCAGTGAAAACCAGGTCCTCCAAGCCCTGCTCCATGACTTTGATGACAAACTCCGGCCGCCCATTGTTCTCTCCAATGGAGCAGCGGTAGCAGCAGCGGCGGTTGTTGGTACGGAGACTCCAGTAGATGCGTGTGGCCTCATAGCCCACAGGATAGAGGGCAGTGGCACTGTGGAAGTCAGCCATCTGGTGAGGAAGCAGCTGTCCAATGGCATGGAACACAAGGCCCCCTACACGAAACATGTGCAGCCGTTCTCCCCGCTGGATGATGCTGGCGATTTGCTTTACTTCATCTCTCTCAATGTAGACCCGTCGGAAGACAGCAAACGAACTCAGCTCCTGCTCACAGGGCCCCTTGATCTTATGCATTGGACATAGCATGGTCTTATCCTTGAAGAACATGCACTTAGCGCGGATGGCACAGGCAAAATGGTAGACACTGGGGCAACGCATACGATTGCAGCTGCTGGTGGCACCGGTTCGCTGGCACAAGGAGCACTTGGTTAGCAGTCCTCGGTGCAGGGCAACCTCCACATTCATCAGTGCCCCGCCCTGGGTCTCATACACCTCTGTGGACCACAGGGCACAGTTGAGGTGTACCCACAGGTCCAGGTCCAGGTTCAACAGGCGGGCAGGCCCATCAGTGGCCCCATCCCCCTCCTCGTGACAGAAGCAGCAGCGTCGCATATCTCGAGGCACCTTGTCAGGTCGCAAGGCTGTGCCAAGCTGCTCCATAAATTCTGCTACTTCCCGCTCATCTTCCTGCCGCCCACTACCCTTCTGGATGGTCAGCAGCAGCCGTAGCCGTTTCCAGCGTACCCCCTTCCACTTTTTGAGGTGAGGAGGTCGGGAATCTTCACCTTCTTCAGGGGGCCGGGCACGGGGCTTGGGACGAGTGGATTCAGGAGATGAGGCCAATGGCAGGGGTGAGGGCACTGGTGGCTCAGCTAAGGGTTCAACAGGAAGTTCAACTAGGGGATCGGCAGGAGGGCTGGCAGGAGAGGGTGCCAAGGGGGATGGGGGTGGGGAGGGTTCTTCCGGAGGTGGGGCTGAGAGCTGTCGCACATCCAAATTGGAGACGTTGTAGGTATAGCTGTGCTGGGTGGGCAGCTCTGGGGCGGGGCTCTCCTAGGAGAGGGTGTCCAAGATCATTAGTGCCAGCTTCTCAACTAACTCCCTCCTCCTTTGCCACCCAGCTCCATTTCCTCAAAAAGCCTCTGTCTTCTTTGCCTTAGGTAGCACTTTTTTCCTAACACTTATCCCCTTCTCTCCCCTACACCAACCTGTTTCAGAAGGCTCAAGATGTCTAGCTGGCTCTTGAGAGTATAACCAGGCAACACTGCATCAAACTGCTTCAGCCAATCAGGGCTAGAGTCTGAGCTCTTGCTGCTTATATTCTTTTCTTTCCCACCTGTAAGAAGAAAGGAGTCAGAGCCTCTCAACACAACCTGTCCCCTCTAATCCCAAGGCAAATTGTTGTCCCACTCACCAGGGCCCTCAGCTTCCCCCTTCTTAGGCTCAATGCCTACACGGGCAGGGCTTTCTGGGAACAGCACCTCATAGGAGTTGGGGATCTTCATGCGTAATAGTTCTGCCACTGCCACCATCACACCATTCAGGTTCTGCCAGGGTGGGTAAAGTGATGGGAAAGACATGTCAGCAGAGCATCTGAAGTTAACAGCAGCTGTGTGGGGCAAGGATGCCCTAAACCCACTGCCCAGGGCATTAGTCAAAACTACCCACACCACTCCAGCAATTCTCACACACCTCCTATACAGCGGACATTCCCAGATTGTGGCAGACACTCAGAGGAGCACCACAGCATGGAAAAACTGAGTTTAGAAAATGATGCCTACTGTATCCACAAGATTCATTCTACATTTGCAAATTAAAAGGACAGAGTGGTCTTGTAGTAAAAAAACAAAATTGGTACTATTGTCTTAACTGGACTTTCCAATTTTCTCTGACCATAAAACCCTGCTAATTCAAAAAGAGCAGACAGCTCTTTTATTTTCACCCAAGCTTTCAAAAAGCATGCATGCACTCAGGAGTGGAATTTGAAAATCATGTTTGTTTGTTTGTTTTTTTTTTGAATGACTCTCCTCTGACCAGGCTTCCCCTGGCCTCAAGGCACCCCCAGAAAATACCTTGGCTGCAGCAGCAGAGACTGTCAGCATTACTGACACCTCACTCCCTTTGCCCTTTTCCCAAGCTGTAGCAGGCAGCTTTCCAGGGACCTCCAGGTCCAGGACCCCATATGGTTTGGTATCTGGGAAGACTGGAAGATAAAGAGAAACTTGTGTAATCTCAGATGCCTCAGATGATTCTGCAGCCAAGCTGGGCCTGGCCCGTGCCCAGAACAGTATATACCTGGGATGCTGGCCCGAGGAATGATAGGGATGACAGGGGAGAGGGCCCGGTCGTCCTGCTCCCCTCGGCCTGAACCCAGCTGAGGGAAACGGGGGGCCTCCTCTCCCAGGATGCTCTCGGGGGATGAAGCTGGTACAATACTGTCAGGAGAATCACTGTCCTCATCACTCTCCATCCTGTGGACCAAATGCAGACATTTATTGGCATAGTTCTATAAATTTTCCTTCCCAAATTTAGAGACCAGCAGGTGTTAGATCCTTCCTTGAAATCTGCGCCGGCCAATGAAAAATAACACAACACCACCCCACACTCTACCCAGCCCCACCCTCACCTGACATCCTCAGTTTGATTGTGAGGAGGTGTGGGCAACGCAGCCAGTAGGTCTAGACTCTTCACTTCTGAAGCATCTAAGGGATGAGTAGGAAGAAGTCAGGGTGAAGGAAGACAGAGCAGATGGAAATTTACCCCCAAAATTTCAGACCCAACTAGCACAAAGACCTTAGCTTAGCTATTGTGACTAGCCATCCACCCACCTCCCAGTTTTGGGCAGCTGTATTTATTGAGCCTCCCCATGTGCCAAACACTGGGCTTTAGGTACATTCTTTTAAAATAATCTTTTAACAACTCCATTAGCTGAATTTTTACTTTTCTATTTTTTTTTTCTTCAGTACTGGGGACTGAATTTAGGGAGTGCTAATCTCCCATCCTTTTTATTTTCTGAACTCACCATGTAGCCCAGGAAGGCCCCAAACTTGCAGCGATCCTCCTGCCTCAGCCTCCTAAGTGCTGGGATTATAAACATGCACCACCACATCCAGCTTTATTTTTTTATTTTGAGACAAGGTCTAAGTTGTCTGGCTTGGACTGAAAGTTGCCATCCTCCTGCCTTACCCTCCTTAGTAGCTGTGCTTACAAGGCATGAGTTTATAAGCATGCCTTACTGATGAACAGTATAAATACCCAATTTAAGAGGGGAAACCCAGGTTCACACAACCGAACCAAGCAATTTGGCTGAAGTAATATAGTATACACAGGTACCAGAGATCAAATCCAGATCAGACTGGAGTGCTATACCTGTGAAAGCTGGATTATTCTTTCTACACAAAATTTTGTTCAGATTCTCCCTGCCACCAAGCTCCCCTGTTGCCTTGGCCCCAGATTCCAGAACCCCATCCTTGTCCCCAGTGAATCAGTCCTACAGAGGCCCTTCTCACCCAGCCAGCCTGGCGTGAAAGGGCACAGGAAGCACACAGTCCACTTGTTTCTTACACTATGTGGCAAGCTACACTAACTGCTTGGAGCCCAGCCCCTCAGTGCCACCAAGAAGGAAAGTCACCTCTTCACTTACCCCGCAGTGTCCCTTCAGTGTCCCCAGCAGAGGCAGGATCCTTGGGGTGCTCCCCCAGCTCTTCGGAAGGAGTGACGCCATTTACCATCTTCTGCTGCACCGATGGGGGTGGGGTGGGGGGCAGCGACGAGGGTGGTGTCGGCGGGTTACTCAGGTTATTCTGAGGGGTGGGGTGGGTGTTGTGTACAAAATGGCATAGGGACACTGATGTAATCTCCTGACCCCACACTAATCAATTTCCTCCAGTTTTCCACCCCTGTTCCCACCTCCCTATGAACTTCATTATTTCCAAAAGACATTGCCATTTTTCTGACCTTGGTAAGCAGCTGGGAATAGTAGTCAGGCCCACTGGGCAGTGCCCCACTTCCAAAGGCCCCTCTCAGCTGGCTCTGCCCACTGATTGGGCAGCTGCTACCAAAAGGAGCAAAGAGGCTATAGTTGGCGGTGATGGTAGGCTCCGTCAAGGGCAGCAGGGACAGCTCCTGGAAGTAAAGTGACAAAGTTGGACACTTGCATTTGCACCTCTGTTATTACACAGCCAGGAGATGGCGTGCCCCCTATCCAGGGATGGGACCAGGGGACTGGCTCCTGGGGGTCACCTGTTTCAGCTGTTTCAGCAAGGCCTCGTTGGCCCTGACCCCGTCCTCCTTCCGCAGCTTCTTTCGGGAGCTCACCAACCTGTCGCTTGCCTTCTGTACCCGCTTGGGCTTTGGTGTCAAAGGCTTCCTTGCTGCTGCATCCTAAGCCAGATAAGCCCTATGAAGGCTACTGCCCTCATCCTTCAAGCCCTCACCTGTTGTCTGACCCAGACATTTTTGCTCTGCTCCTGCCCTCCAGGCCCCAAGTGGTCTGTTTCACTTTAGCCAGAGTACTCACTTCTTTGTTGGCGGGGGTACCCTGTAGTTTCTGCTCCAATCCAGTCAGCTTGCTGTCAATGTGCCCGTTGATCTCAGCTCGCAGCCCCTCAGGCCCCCGCCCAGCGCTGAGTTGCACATTCTTTGCACGTAGAAGCTTCTGCAAGAGCAGATGCCCAGCCTCTGAGCGGGGGCCTGCCAGCAGGAGGTGATTGCTGGTACCTGATGCCCCTACTGGTTCCCCATTGGCCTCCCTCTTCACCGCCTGGGCTCCCAGGGCACATGGCTCTTCCCGAGGCTCCTGCTTGATGCTGAGTTGGGGTGGTTCAGGTGCCACCTGTCCATTCACCTGTTCCAGATGCCCAGGCACCAGGCTGCACTGCTCTGGCTTCTGGGCTTCTACTAGGTTGTCTGAGGGGTCCCAAGGTCCCAGCCCCTTGCCAAAGAAGGTATCCGCAAGCTGGGCAGCAGCAGGTGAGACCCTCCCAGGAGGCAGCTCCAAGGTTGGCCCCTGGGGCTTTGGGGTGCCTGGATGGGTGGGGGTGAGCTGGGTACTGGGGGAAGGTAATTGTGAAGAAGGTCTCTTTGGCTCTTGGGGGCTGGATGGCGGAGGTGTGGGATGGACAGGGCCAACAACTGGTCCTGTGGATAAGGCTCCTTGTGGGACAGAGAGCCGGGGTGGGCCCTGAGGTCGAGGCCCTGCCCCTAGCTCCTGGAGAGGGCCTGTCTGGGTTCCAGGAAAGCCCCCAGGTTGAGGCTGGCAGCCCAGGAGGCCCTGCAAGGGAGAGGGCTGAGTCCCTGGCTCCTGGTAGGGTGGAGTCTGGCGTACTGCCTGACTCTGCTGCAGCTGTCGCTGCAAAATGAGTGCCTGTAGCTGCTGCTGCTGCTGAGGACTCAAGTGCCGCAGCTGTGGGTTTTTGGCCAGAACTCCTTGGAGCTGCACTCGAAGCTGACCCACTGTAGGCGTGATTCCAACCCCAGACAGACCTTGCCCAGACTGGGGGACAGGTCCTGATTTGGGAGGTTGTGGCCCTGCATTATTCTGCACGGGTCGCTCTAGCCCAAGGGGCTGTTGGGGGCCCAGAATGTTCTGGGTCACGGGCCCAGGCTGCTCCCCTAAAGAAACAGAGGGTTGGGTCAGCAGGTGGGGCATAGATGAGCCCTCAGAAGATGATCCGCTGCCTAGTTGCCCATGGCTTCCTACACCTGCTGTATGGAGCAAATTAACTTGCTGCTGTGGTTGTCCTGGGAGTCTTACAGGTGGCTGCAGCTGTAAAGAGTTGGGTTGAGGCTGGGCCTGGGGTTGGACAAGCAGAAGTTGTGAGTCCCCAGAGAGGGAGGGTTTTACCTCCCCTGATTCCGTAGCCACTGACTCAGATGCAGGCCCTATTATTAACGGCCCTCCCTGATGTGTTGAGGGACCCTCATTGACCTCTGAAGGAAGAGCGGTCTCTACAGTGTTTTGTTCCTTGCCCGTCAGAAGGAGGGTTGGGCCCAGGGTTCCGGGGCTAGAAAAGTGTTGAAGAGGCTTGGCTGGCATGCCAGGGCCAAGTGTCACCTGCTGTTGTTGCTGAGGAGATAACAAAGTTCGACTCTGGTTCAAGAGGCACATCTGCTGCTGCTGTTGCTGTTGCTGTTGTTGCTGCTGCTGTAGAAGCTGCTGTTGTAGCTGCTGTTGCTGCTGCTGCTGTAATTGCTGCAGCTGCTGTTGATGAAGCTGCTGCTGCTGTTGCTGTTGCAGCTGCTGCTGCTGTTGCAGCTGCTGCTGCTGCTGCTGTTGCTGCTGGAGCTGCTGCTGTTGCTGCTGCTGCTGCTGGAGCTGCTGTTGTTGTAGCTGCTGTTGCTGAAGTTGCTGTTGCTGCTGCTGTTGTTGTAGCTGCTGCTGCTGGAGCTGTTGCTGCTGTAATGAGCCCAGAGGCTGAGCATTCAGTTTGGCCTGCCCACTGTGTGATAACAGGCCCTGCTGAAGATGGGAAAGCCCTGCCATGGGTCCCTGTTGTTGGTGCTGTTGTGACTGCTGTTGTTGCTGGCCTGTGACCAGTCGATGTCCCATAAGGCCATGACCCTGCTGTGCCAGCTGGGGGGAACTCAGCACCCGGGACTGGGTCATAAGCACCTGTCTGTGAGGGCCCTGGGGCCCCAAAGCTCCAGAGTGCTGCTGCAACACTGCCACCTGGGCAGGACCCAGCATGCCCTGGGGTCCCTGGGGTGGCTGAGGGGACAGTTGCTGGACCAGAAGACCTTGGTGGCTGTTGGGAGGCACAAGCCCCTGGGGTTTGGGGCCCAGAGCCTGATTTGCCTGTAAACTGGGACCTTGTTGCTGTTGCTGCTGGACTGCCACCTGTCCTAGGTGATGCTGTTGCTGCTGTTGTTGTTGCTGCTGCTGCTGCTGCTGCTGCTGCTGCTGCTGCTGCTGCTGTAATTTCTGGGCCAACTGCATGCGTTGCTGCTGCAGCTGCAGCTGCCTTTCCTGTAAAAGCCTTGAATCAGGTCCAAGGCTTCGGAGAGCAAGGTTGCCAGGGAAGAAGCCGCCTGAGGGGCCAGCCAAGGATCCAGCCCCACCAGAATGCTGCTGTTGCTGTTGCTGGGCCAGGGCTGTGTTAAGAAAAGGGCCACCAGGCTGTCCAGGTAGTGCCATACCCCCAGGAGGCAGGCGAAGACTGCCAGTCTGCCCACCCGGGGGGCCCTGTGGTGGCTGCAGCCCATGGCCAGGGAGCAGCTGCCCAGGGAGCTTGGTGAGTAGTCGGGGACTCTGAGAAGGGCTGAGGGCCAATACAGCCGAGTGTTGCTGTTGCTGCTGCTGTTGCTGCTGCTGCTGCTGCTTGTTTCGATACTCTGCCATGAGATTAGTATGCTCCTTCTGCTGTTTCCGAACCTAAGTTAGACAGGTCAGAGAGGTCAGTCAGGAGCCTGCCTACCCATATAATCCTTCCTCTCTGGTTTCCAGGTGCTAAGTCGAAGTTTGCTTTCCCCACCTGATCCAACTGTTTCTGGATCTTGCTCTGCTGCTCTGTAACCAGCTTGAGCTTCTCAGCATCAGCTTCTGGGAACTCACGGCCTGCCTTTTTGGCAGTGCGCTGCTTGGCACACAGAGCCTTCCGGGACTTGCGATGCACACCAATCTGCTCCTCTAGCACCTTCAACTGCATCTGCAGGAGCTGCTGAGTGTGGAAGAGCCACTCCTCATATTGCCGCTGGTCTGCTTCATCTGGGAGAGGAAGTAGGGTATCAGTACCTGCAAAATGGCAACTCTAATTTCTGTCCCTCCATAGGTCTCTAGCCACTTCCTTGTACCTTCCTCCTATGCCCCATACTCACTGATAACTCCCTGGGCAAAAGTGGGTGGGTTGGGGCGAGGCTGAGAGGGGTCACTGGCATTCCGCTCCTGTGATGAGAGAGACTGCTAAATGTCACTGTCTACACAGGACCTTAAGAAAAGTGGCCCAACAGCATGACACACATTCATACTCCTCTAAAACTTACCTGGCTGCTCCCAGGAGCTACATGGTTCTGTAGATCACCCCCAGATCCCCCAGAGAGCCTCTGGGCTAGCAGTGACACTTGCTGCCTGGAGTCCATCAAAGCATAAAGGATTAAGTGTCAGTGAAGGCAAAAAAGTAGTTCAAATAATGAGGAAGGCCAAGCAGAGCAGGGATGTGACTGGGGAAAGAAAAGTACCAGTCCTAACCCTAACCCCAAGACTTACCTGTTCATACCAGGTGCAACCCCAATGCTGCCCTGAGCCATCACTTTCTTGATACCTTTCAAAGCTACCATCTTGGCCTTTGCAATGGGATCAATGATATCTTCTGCAGCAAATTTGTCCAGGTCTGGAAAACGAGGAGCCAAATGAGTGGGCGTTTGGTTGGAGGCAGTGGGGAGAGAGGGTCATTACCTATCATGTGACTGCTCCTACACACAGACCTACACTAAATCATGCAAAACAATGGCATGGCATAGCAGAAAGGAACTGAGTTAGGAACCAAGCAAACTAGTGACATAGGTCTGATATTCAGAGGATATGTGATCTTGCTTTTATTGTAGAGTGCTAGGAAAAGGGACTCTAAATATTTGTTGGGTCAGTAGATCAATATACTTCAACTCTCTAAACCTCAGTTTAAATTCTATTTGATAAAGATCATCTCTACTCTGCTCATCTCTACTCTCTACTTCTGAAGCTACAGAGGACCAGCTGTAACAAGAATATTGGTACATTTCATGACCTTAACGATATTCTTCAAAGTAATCATCTTGGTGTAACTAGTACAGCTCAAGAGCCCAAGACACAGGTATTGTGGCCAAGTCTTAGATGTCAGAGCTGTTAGGGACAAAAAGGAACACCATCTACAATCCACTGTCCTGTCATTACAGGACACTGGGTAAAAAAAGGAAAAATAAATAACCATCAAAATCTTCTTAAAATTCTGCATTTTGTATGTATCTCCACTATTCGGAGAGCTTAACTGACTTACCACTTTTTTTGAGACAAAGTCTCATTGTGTAGTGCAGGCTGGCCTTGAACTCACTATGTAGCCTACGCTAACCTCAAACTCATGGTGATTGTCCTGCCTCAGCCTCTGAATTGCTGAGATTACAAGTGTGTGCCACCACACCTGGCTTGACTCATCAATTTCTGAAACACTAGTCAAATACATTCTAGAATTCTGAGGCAGTAAAGCACTAGAGTTTAGCTCTACTTTGCTAACTACTGTATAATCTTAGACAAATAACTTCTATACCTCAGTTTCTTCTTCTGTAATGAAACACTACAATAGTACCTGTCTGCCCACTCACTTCTACTTCACTGTTCCCCAAATATACTCCAAGTTTTTCTACCACTACAGCCACAGTCAACCTTTCACTTGCTTTTTCTTATACATATCTCTGTGTCCTCAACTTTCAACTTCATCACACCCACAAAAACTTTGCTAATCACGCTTCACTCATTCTATTCATATATCTGAATGCTTCCTCTCTGTAAAGAACTGTTCCCTCTCTTCATAAAGAAACAGTGCCCTCTGCTTACATCACTACTATGATACTTAGCCAAAACTCTTTGTCCTCTCTCTTTACTAGGGCTTATTATAGGGGCCTAGCCTTAGTCAGTACCTGTTTGGTGGTGATAACAATCATCTCTAAGTAACTCAATCATGCCAGTAGCTGAGGTTACCTGTATCTGGAAAGAAGCTGTTGGCCAGCTGTTGCTGCATTGCCAGTTGCTGGGGCTTCATACACATGGAAGGTGGCATGGTGCTCATGGGTTTCTGTGCTAGTACTGGCTGTGGACTCTGCTGCGGCACCAAGCCTGCCTGCCCCCCATGCTGTCCACTTAGCATATGCCCTTGATTGGACACCATGGCCATGGTTGGGGCCAGGCGCTGCTGGAGGGCATGAGCTGGTGGCTGGGTGGGCATCAATGGTTGGCCCAAACCTGGCTGTCGGGTTCCTCCAAGACCCAGGGCAAGTTGCTGCTGAGGCCCAGCCAAATTGGGAGAAGAGCCCTCATGTGGTAAAGGCATTGCCTGGCCAGAGCTTGGTGTGGATAGTAAGGAATGTTGCTGTTGCGGCTGTGGCTGCTGCTGCTGTTGCTGTTGGACAGGCTGTAGCTGGGCTGAAAGCTGCTGTTTCTTCTGTAGCTCCTTCTTTTCATGTTCCAACAGGTCCTCAATAAGCAGGGGCAACTCACTGGCTACTAGAGAGCTTTCCATCTTGTCCAGTTCATCCCCAGATGCTCCATGTCCACTAGGCAAGGTCAAGGCTCCACTCTCTAGCTCAAACTTCTCTAGCAGGGAGGATCCTCCTGTGCCACTCAGCGGGCTGGGGGTAAGCAGGTGAGCTGGTGGTCCCCCTGTAGCCCCAAAAGAGCCCTTCTCAGCTGTGTGTCCACTGCCAGAAAATGGCCCTGTGCCCATCCGGGTGTCCCGGCTGCCCAGCACATTCTGTCCTGGTTTTAGCCCCAGGCCAAGGGAAGCAGAGGCAGGTCCTGGCTCTACCTTGGGGGTGGTAATGGTGAATTGGCAAGGGGAAGGGTGGCGCCCACCCTCCTCCACCTTAGGCTTCACCTCAGGGAGCACAGATGCCAGGCGGGGCTCAGAGACATCAGTAGGCGGAGGAGGGCGCTCCTCAGGGCCCAAGGGTCCTGGCTCTACTCCCCGAAGCAGGGCCTCCCGCTCAGCCTTCTCATTTGCTGACTCCACCAGCCTTAGGTGCTCATTGAAGATGTCTTTCTTGTCCCCAGTGTCCAGCTCAGGGTCAGTATACGCCAGTAGGTCAAACTCATCTCCATTGAGCAAGTCATCTAAGTGAGGGTCATTGGTCTCCAGGTTTTCCAGGGTGCCCAGCTCATCATCACCCTTGGCAACATCCACACCCAGACCTAGATGAGCAAGCTCTTCATCATCTTCTAGGGCCTTGTGGGCATCAAAATCATCATCTAGCTCAGGATCCTCACAGTGTAACTTTCCAGCTTCCAGGGCCAGGGGAGGAGGGCGAGCAAGCTCAGTGGTAGAGGGCGGCCGGGTGACCAGATCTAAGCCAGCTGTCAGTGCAGAAGCCTTGGTGTGGGATGTAGGATGAAGACTATTGTTCAATTCAGGAGCAGGTGGGGCTGGGGGTTTCTGTGGAGGAAGGCCTGGCGCTGCCAGGCCTCGAAGCCCTTCAGGAGCCAGTCGGTGGGTATCTTCATTTACAGGGAAAAAACGGGGCCTCTGAGGGGGGCCCTGACCAGGAAATGAAGGCCCCCCAGGTCCCAGTCCTTTCTGAACGTTGTGCCGTAACTCAATGAACTGGGCAGGCCCCGATGGACCAGGCACTGGCTCAGCAGGGCATGGCAGGCGGGTGGGAATTCCTGCCAAAGGGGAACCTAGTGCTTGGCGGCCAAGTTCAGATCCAGCAGTTGAAGGAAAACGAGTAGACATGGTGAGTCGCATGGAAGTTGCTGACGCTGCTTGCTGCTGCTGCTGCTGCTGCTGCTGCTGCTGCTGCTGATGCCATAGTTGCTGCTGTTGCTGCTGCTGTAAGGGCAGGGATCCAGGATAGGGCACTCGTTGATAGAAGGCCTGGGAGCCTCCTACCAGTTGCCTGGAAGAATACACAGTAGTCAGTGAGATACAATCAGGCTAGAGAGCTAAGAGGGGTTTGGGGTAATGAGGAAGGACAGAATTAAACTAGTGATGGGGACAGAATGAGGAAAAATAGCAGAGGAAGATCAATAAAAGGAAAATCAGAGGCAGCATGTAAGGGTTTACTCCTAGGGAACTTCCTGGAGCCTCACCGGCTGTTCACATCCATAGAGGAAGGTGTGGCAGGTGGAGGTGGCCGGGAGAGTCGGTCATCAGTAGGGAAGAGCCCCGGTCCCGGTCCCAAGACAGGGCCACCTAGCTTGCTTGGGGGTAATCCCACCAGGCTGCTCTTGTCCTAGAAGACAGACATTAGTGAATACAGGGCCACTTTGGTATCCTGGTCCCAACATCCCTTGCCACTTTTACCTACCTGTGCCGCAGGAAATGGAGTCTGGCCTCTACTCAGCTGTTCAAAGGTAGAGCTGCTGGGTTCTGTACCCCAGCTTCCTGGGTGCCCTACTGCACCTGCAGCTGCTGCAGCTGTCTCCTTCTCCTGCCGCAAGGTGTTGCGCTGGATCTGCTGCCGAATCAGTAGCTCCCGGAGTCGCTGGCGCTATGCAGAAAACAGTGAAGAGAATTAAGCCCATTCTATTCCAATTATGGGGCTCACCTGAAGCAGAAACATGGGGGCTCAGTTCCAGGATATCACTTACCTGCCGTTGCTTTTCCAGCTCTGTCTGACTGAGACTGGACATGCCTGGGTCTTGGGTACCTGGGAGTTCAGGTGCCCCCAAGGAGCTACTCATTGTAGCCCCTGGATCTTCTCGCTTTTCAACTGGAGAGGTGATGCCTGTCCTCTGTGAGGCTCCATGGGACAGGAAGGGGAGGGATCCATCGGGTGCAGGCGGTGGCAGAACAGATGTGGGGCGTAGTGGGGACAGCCCATAGCCCTCCCCTGTGGACCCACTGCTGGGCCCCAAGGGGCTGCCCGCTGGGTGGAAGTTCCCGGTAGTTACTGCGTAGTTTGTGCTTTGAGGCTTGCCCAAAGTGGGCGCGGGCCCAAAATGGCTGTTGATCCCATGGGGTGGAGGAAGCCCAGGCTGAGGGACAGGGGGCTTTAGAGAAGGTTCTCCTACACCCTGGGGAAAAGTAAAACGCATGGGAGAGGAGGTGCCCACAAATGTACCAGTCCCAGGGGAGCGGGCAAAATTGGGGGGCTGTCCACTTGGGACCTTGGCATGGAGCTCACCCACTGGCCCTGAAGGCAGGGCTGCTGGGAAGCCCCCAGCTCCCAGTGGAGTGTGGGCTAGAGGCCCAGCCTTAAAGGCAACTTCAGGGGGCTGGGGTCGGGGTGGCTTATGCAATGGAGCAAATGGGTCTCGGGACTGAGGGCGTGAGGGTGGGCGATTATAGGGGTCAGGGGACTGGAAGCGAGGAGTAACAGGGGATGGGCAGAAAGCCTCAGTTGACAAAGGACGGGGGGTCAGAGGGGACTGGGAGCTTGACTGGGACTGAGGACTGGCTGGAACTCGGGAGAAAGGGTCGGAAGGCAGTGAACGAGGGGGCAGAGCACAGCAGCTCTCAGGGAGCGGGGGTGGGGGTTGGGGCCGAGGGGTCAGTGGGGGTTGGGCATAGGGGTCAGGGTAAGGGCCTGGGCGAAAGATATCTGGGTGGTTGGGAGGAGAAGCCGCCAAACCCTGGGCAGGGGATGGTTCCTGGTTCCGAAGACCCAGGCCTGGGCTTTGGGGCTCTACCTGAGATGCCCGAGGGGTCAAAGGGGCTTTGAAGACATCAGGTGCCTTTAACTCCAGGCCACCCAGGTGGGGGCCTGAGGAGGGTGAGTCCACAAAACCTAGGTTTGAGGGCCCATAGCTAGGAGAAGATGCCCCAAGCTCCTCCTTCTTCACCTCCAAGGCCTTCCGGGTCTCCCCGAAAGCAGATGGTGAGAGCAGGGGCTCAGAAGCCTTGCTCCCTGCCACTCCTGGGCTCTCAGGCACAGCCAGGTTGTCCAGGGAAGGGCAGCGGGGCTTGAGGAAGGGGTCAGGCGTGGAGGGCTGGTGTCGGGGGGTGCCAGGAGGAGTGGAGTGGAATTCGCCCGGCTGGCCAGTCCCAGGACGAGATGAGGCACCCAGCATTGGGGGCTGTGCAGGAGCCCCAGTTGGACTGGGATAGGGAGGGTAGGTGGGTGGTGCTGCAGGGAAGCGGGGCTCCAGGGTATAGGTGGGGGCCAGTCCAAAGGGGTCCTGTGAAGGCACTTGGGCGGGCACCTGGGGTGGGAGCTTGAGGAAGAGCTCACCAGGGGAGTCAGGGCCGGGCACTGTGCCCGCTGGTGGCTTCAGGAACCCATCCGCAGAGGTAGACAAGCCGGCGGGGGTGGTGGGGCTGCCAATGAAAATGGTGGGGGCCGAAGCAGGGAGCGGACTGCCCAGTGCCCCTGGCTGTGGGGGAATGCGGAGATGGAGGGCCGGTCGATCAGTCTTACGGGCTACATCGCCCACCTTGGTCTGCTTGTTGATCTGGCTCTCAGCCTGCTACAGGGGAAGACCAGGCACAGAGCAGTCAGACTGCTGTAGACAGATTCTTTGTCACCCACCCTAGATGGGCCACCCATTATATGACATTGATGAGTCAACCTGGCCCAACCCCTACTCACCTTCTGCACCTTGTTGATGCGGTGAGCTGCCCGGTTATCTTTGGCCTTTTGCTGAGGGACATAAGACACAACACAGGGCCTAGTGTTCAGTCACTAGCCCAGCCCAGCCCAGCCCTCAAAACACCACTAATGCTCCCCACCCAGAAGCTGGTCCTCCCTGGCCCAGCTCCTTGAGGAGTAGAGAGTGGGGAATAGAACAAAGAGTAATGTCCCAAAGACACCTCCTTCCACCATGGCTTTCAGGCTGGCCCATGCTCTGGGTCTCACCAGGTAGGGGGCTTTGTCAGTAGCTGGAACCTTCCTCCAGAGCTTCATGATTTGTTTACAACGACTAGACCAGTCTGGAGACAGAGAAATCAAATCAGAGGAAATTCTACCTGCAAGACTGCCAGGCTGTTTCCCTTGCCCTCACCCCACAAGTACCTGGGTAATCTTGCTTGAGATTAGGAAAGTTGATGTTGGCATAGAGTACAGGTGAGATGGTAGAGAGCTGGCCCAACTCCTCATCCTTCTCCCAGCGCTGCAGGCTCCGCTGGTTATAGGACAGCCCGTCGCCCTCACCCTCCGTGGTGGGGGTAGTGGGTGTGGAGGGCGTGGTGCCCCCTGATCCTGTCCAGGGGCTGTCTGGCTCACCGGGTTCTGGGCTAAAGAAGCCCCCGCGCTCCCTGGGGCGCAGGGGCAGAGAGTCATAGGGAGCAGGGATGCCAAGCCCCACCCATGTGACCAGGAGAGCAGTGACTACCCACTGAGGTTAAGCGCAGATACCAACCTAGAATCCAAGAACGGAGACTGGCAGAGGCCCGGGTAGGAGTCCATTGGGCTGTTGGAAGGCAGACTACCCAAAGGGAGTCCACCTGTAAGAGGGACAGGATCAGAGAATGCTTGGTCTGAGGGCAAGCTTGGCTATGGCAGCCTTCAAATTCCTCCCCCAACTGCCTTACCTTGGACAAAGGGCCTCTGCAGCGGTGTGCGGCTGCCATCTAGGCCAGGGGTTCCACAGCCCAGATGCTGCTCTCGTTCAGAACCCAGAACATCCTTGAAGAGCTGCTGTAGATCCTTGGATTCCATTTTGGGCAGTTCTGTTGGAAAATGATAAAGGACACTACTAGGAAGAAGCAAAGGTACAGTGACACCATTGGTCTACAAATGTTCGTACCCAGGAAGGGATGCAATAACCCTTCCTTGCTCCTCACCTCCAGATTGCCCATTAGAGAAACTTAAAGATCAGTCCCACAAGTAAAACCCTCATCTCTTTCAATGGAGGACACTTATACATAAAGAAGATCCTTGTAATCTCACCTTCTGTGGGAATCCTGTCTAAGTCAGAGCTAAGCATCCCTTCACCTGGGGTGCCTGGCTTCTCGGAGTCACTGGGCACTGGGGATGCCTTTACACCCCCATCCTCAGGTCCTGTAATTGCCGGGAGAAACCCATCAGCCAAGGCCATGAGGTATGGAGGTATCACACTGGCCACCCTGAATCACAGTGGAGCACAAAAGTTTCTAGTCTCCAAATCTAACAATGCTCAGAGCAGACTGAAAGAGGTAAAGTTGAGATGGACACACCCTCACCTGGTGTATCAGCCATGCCCTCCAGGCCACGGGATTCTTCATCTGCAACATCTGGACCATCATCTCCTACAAGTGACAGTCCCCATTCCAGTCAGAGATGGCCTACACCTGATGCCCAGCAGGTCCCCAGTTCCATAAACCAGGGCCCTTGGCCCACTCTTAATATCTGGAGATTACCTCCTCTATACCAGACACCCTTGCCAACTTCTAAGCAAGAGGACAATGACATCACTAACCTTTCTGCAAGACAGGGAGCTCCTTCCTTTCTGAGCCTCCATCTCCTCGGGCTTTTGGGGTTCCTAATCCAAAGCTTGGTCGGCCCACCCCAACTGCAAAAAGGGCCTTCCGGCTTAGGTCCAGCAGCTCCTTCCCAAAGAAGGCTTCCTGAGGAAGGAGTCAGGAAAAAAGAACTACTTGATGCCCCACTTTCCTTACCTCTAGTTTCCTCAACTCTGAGAGTCTTGAGACCCACCTGCAGGTAAGCAGGGAACATGTCCTCTAGTTTGCTCTTCTTGCGCCCTCGCCGCTGTTGCTTCTTCTTCTCATCCCCATCTATGAGGCCCTGCTCCCCGGAGCCCTCTGCAGGCAGGTCAGTAGGCATCACTGTGGACAGAACAGCACAGGAAGCTAAGGGTCTCTGGAGTACTGGGCATGCTGCGCCCAACTCTACTAGGTAACACCTTTTGCCATTCTCCCCCGAAAAGCTTGGGCTGCCATCTTCTGGCCCCTGCAGTGAGCCCCTGCCCAATCCTCCCTGGCACTACTTTGTGGGTGCTGTGATCCCCACCTTCTCCCAGGCCCCATTGGTGCCCTCACCCGTCTCACCCTCGTCGGGCTGCCCATCCCCACTCAACACCTCCGCCTGTGCAGCAGGCCCCTTTTTCACACGTGTATGGGATTTCCGCTGTCGCACCATGAAACCACCAATACCTACGAGGAGGTGGAGCTGAGGATGAGAAGCCACTGGGACCTGGTGAGCTGACCCTCACCACCCAGTTTCCCATGCCAGGGCCTCACCAGGCCGGTAAGGTTTGCGCTTGCGTTTTTTGCTTTCCTCAGTCTCTTCTTTGCCAGGTTCCACATCAGGGCTGGCAGGGCCCTCCAATTTAATTTCACACTCCATGTGCTCCACTCCACCTGCATGTAATGACATAAAAAGAATCAAGGATCTGGGCACCTTTCTCAGCTTACTGTACAAAAAGCTCAGTACCTTGCCTTACAGCCACCTAGACAAGACCAGGTGACTAAGAGTGGCAATTAGCCCCCAGGCAAATTCCTGTTCCCACAAGTGCCTGCCCACTATTTTCCCTCTCTCTAAGATTCCCCAGCCCAACCTTCTCCTTTGAGCAGCTCATCAGTGTCCAGCTCCCCATCCTTCTTTTCATCAAGGCCAAGGGCATCTGAGGGCTCAGAACCCTCCAGTGCCACCTCGCCTGGGAGGCCCAACCGTCCTCGCCGCTGGCGCCGTTTGTGCAGTGGTGACATGGTCAGGTTACGCAGCACAGCCATGCCAGTTTCTGTCAGCCATACACCCTCAAAGCGAAAATACTGGGGCTCTGAAAAATAGAGAAGACAATGTGATGCTGAATAGAGGTCTCAGGGAAACCAGAACTCTTAAGTTTCAACCTGTGTCCCCAGATGAGACAAAAGCAGTCACACACAAAGTCCAGGCTGGGGTCTTGGGGCTAGGCAAAACAGACTACCAAGGGAAGGAGACCTGAGTTCTGTATCAGTGACTCGGGGTATTTAGAGATGGAATGGCTACTATAAAAGTCTGGGTATGCTTAAGATTAATCCCACATTCAGCAAACAGATTCTGTCAGGTACATGGAGGGCCCCTACTTGCTGAATGGCAACACAGAGCCCACATCATAACAGAGAGGACCCCAGGCTCATTCACTGCAAAGGAAGAGTTGTGCCCTCTGGACATCTGGCAGTAGAGAGTTGATGTTGACTCATGAAAGGTACAGTGTCTAAGAAACTGGAGACCTTGGAGCTGGTCCTAACTTTGCCACTAATTTACTAGGTGGTCACTCAACCTCCCTGGGTCTTGGTTTCCTCCTCTTAAAATGAAGAGATGAAGAAGGAGGATTGGAGACAGACTAGCTATTATGTAAGTTTTATCTGGCTCTGGATTCAAAATTCTGGTGGCTCACCTGGTTCTTTCACCTTCATTGGCACCAATTCTGGAGGGGCAACTGGTGCTGCAGAAAAGACAAAAAGCAAGATGATGTAGGGGACTGTCCAAAAGCAAGGCATGCTCACCTTGTTTCCTCCTTGCCCCTTGCAGCACCCCATACTCACCCACAGGCTTTACCACATAAGGCTGGCAGGAAACACAGTCAAAGCCTTCATCCGCTGCCTGCTCCACATCATCCTCGGTAAAGAGGCTCTCACAGCCAGCATGCATCCATCTAGGAGAATGAAGATGGGGCATGAGTATGCAGGCAATGCCAGGCTGAAAGCAGGGAAGCAGGGCCAACGTAAGGGGAAGAGTTGTCCTAACCTTTCACAGTGGCGGCACTGGATCAGCAGGTCCTCTTCCACATATGGAGCGTGACAGATAGGACAGGTCACCAGGCTAGCACAGGGCCCACAGTGGGTGTAACTATTCTGCCACTCACAATGGAAGCCAGGGGAGGCAGCCCCACACTGCATACAAGACACACACCTGGTAGGAGCAGAAAGACAAACCCTCAGACGTAACTTCACCAAAGTAACCAGAGATGCCCCCACTGAAGAGTAGCCTGGCCTCCTAAATGCAGCTTGTCACATAGCCAATATCACATGCACTCTAACATCTCAAGCCCATATACAGCTTATCTTCTCAGGCCCCAGGCTCCTCAGAAGACCCCAAGTCTCCTTACCACTTGCACTTCCAGCCACCCTTGGGCACGGTGAGTAGTGGGGGATCCAGGCAGTATGTGTGATAGCTAATATCACAGTCATCACAGAGAAGCAGGCGTGAAGGGTCGGAGGCCTGACCGCATACCTCACACACGATACACTCCACACAACGCCAGCCCTTCAGCAGCATCACTTTGGTGATCTGGTGCAACAGACGGAATTCCTCAGGGTGTATGCGGGGGAGGACTTAAACAGTTAAGGATGGGAACCCCAGTGCACAGGCCAGATAGCTGTTCAAGCACAGAGAAGCTTATACAGAGCACCCTTACCCTCCAAACAGTAGCTCTAAACAGGTTCCCAGGAAATCTCTACCACCAGAGAATAGCCTCATCAGCTATTATCTTCATTGTTGGGGGGTATAGGGTGGGGGTGGACAGTGTTTCTTTGAGACAGTCTCACTATATAGTTCAGGCTGACCTTAAACACATTATATAGCTCATGCTGGCCTTGAACTCACAGTGATCCTTCTGCCTCAGTCTCCTAGAATTTTCTAGAATCACAGGTGTGCATCCAGCACCACTGCCTTTATACACAGTGGGATAGCACCTATTCACTAGGGTGGACAGAATTTGATTGTACTGTCCCTAGTTTTTCTTGAACATTTAGAACCTGTTACTGATATAAGTTAGGGAATGTTAGCAGTGTGCTAAACTACAAATTAGTATGATTAAAAACCCTAAAACCCTAAATCATGCTTAGGTCAAAAATAGTATATTCTCTTTGTGGAGATGTACTGATGGCTTTATATTCTATTTCCAGACTATAGCATGTTTTCTATTGATGAAATTGTCAGCATTTATGTGATTAACTGAATTCTACCAGCAACTTTTATTCTACTGCAAAAAAATTATAGTCTGCCACATTCCAAAGTACTTTTCCTCAAGATGAGTGTGACAACTACTGCTGATCAATGAATGACTTCCAGGAGCAGTCACCACTTTAAAGAGAGTGTGACCAGGACAGGAGCATAAGGTAAGAAAGAACTGGAAAATGGATAAGGGCAGGAAAACAAAACACAAAAAAAATAGGTACCAAAAAAAAAAAAAGAAAAGAAAAGCCAAGTGTGGTTGTACACGTCTATAATCACAACACTCAGAAGGCTAAGGAAGGAGGATCACCGTAAATTCCAGGCCAGTCTGAACTACACAGCAAGACCCTGTCTCAAAAAAAAAAAAAAAAAAAAAAAAAAAAAAAAAAAAAAAAAAAAAAAAAAAAAAACCCCGAACTGACCCTGTTCACCATCTTACACCTCTGCGGCCCTAAACTTACCTTGCTGTTGACACAGTAAGGATGATAGCACTGAGAGCACTGTGAACAAGCCAGGAGATGGCCCTCTGCTCCCCGACCAAAGCTGCCACATACCACACACATGTCCTGGGGAAACAGAAACTTCAGTGTCCAACCAGGTCTCCTCATCGTACTCAGAGAACTACTGCCGCACTACTCTGTAACAGGTAACTTGAATTTGTCTGACATAGGTAAAGGTAAGAAGAAATTACAGGACGATAAAATGGAGTAAGGAATCGTTGAAACCACGCATGGTGGCACACGCCTGTAATCCCAACAGGATTGAGAGGCTGAGGCAGGAAGATCATCAAAAATTGGAGGCCAGCCTGGGCTATAAAGTGAGTTCAAGACCAGCCTAAACTATGTATTGAGACCCTGTCTCAAAAAAACTAAGAGGAAAAAAAAAGTTGAATGACAGTTACATATATGACCAAGTTTTTTTGGCTTCAAGATTATTCAGATGAAAACATACCAAAGATCACTAGTGTATAAGCTTCAACAGGGCAATGACTTCTTTTCTGATACGATTAAACCTAGGGCATTTACACTGAGCTACACCCCCAGTCCCTTATATTTTTATTTTAAGACAAGTTTTTGCTAATTAACAAAGTTGCCTGAGCTGGGCTTAAACTTAAGATCCTCCTACCTGAGCCTCCCAAACTGCATGGGATTACAGGAATGCACTACAACACTCACTGGCAAAGACTATTTCACCTTTCTCATTGCTATACAGGATTGATTCAATTCAGTGCCCCCTCTCATTCACTCAGTAGGTCCAGATTTTCTTCATTACTCTCTGATCAAATTACACACACACACACACACACACACACACACACACACACACACACACACGCAATGTTCAGTGTGCCACTCTCAGAGCTAAGGATAGAACTACCCTAAGTATGGTACCTGCATTAGAACGAATTTGTCTGTGTTGGAGAAGAGAACCACAGTATTTTGCATGGTGTCATCATCTTCTTCTTCCTCTTCCTTACTGGGAGAACTATCAATATCAGCCACCTTATAAACAAAGAGGTATGGAAAGTGAGGAAGATAAGTACGCCTCAACTAACCTGCTTTTTCCTCTTTGGTGTGGGGAAAGGAGGTATGAACCCCTGGTTGAGATAAAGGCCAGACCCCAAGACTAAGAAACAGAAGGAAACCCCAACCTCCAAACTAGGTCTCAGTTCAATGGCAGAGATGTCAGAAAAGCCTGGAGGACAAGCAGACAGCAGCATAAATTTATTCAAATAGGCTCTAGACCAACAGTGGTGAACGTACAGCACATGAGCAATAATGGGCTGTCTGTATTATTGAAGCTCTAAAAGATTGGTGGTCACTACCCTAAGCTAGCAAGCATGCAGGCAACTGTCAGGATGCAAAGGATGTTTAAAGACACCAGATAAAGCATTCTAGGAGAATGGGAGGCCTGTCCTTACTACCAGAGTCTCAATGGAAGAAGTAGTTGATTTTAGCCGGGCCCGTCCCCTCCCACGTCCTCCATGTGCTCCTCCACGAGGCCGACGTCTTCCTGGGAAACTACTGCTGCGACCCTGGGTGAGGGAAGAAAAGGCTTACAAAAGCAAGTCAAGGTCCAGTGTGTTGGGTTCTCAGGCTTGGGGTAAAAGAAGAGATGGATACAGTATGACAGGTTATAAAGCTCAAGAGTCCCAATTCAGGGCAAGGAAAAAAAAAAAGCTAAGTGCCCAGATATCATCAACAAGCAGAGCATTCACACCCAGACCCATTTTCCTCTTCTAAGAAAAACAAAGGTCTATGTGGTACAAGGAGAAAAAATAATGACTCTAAGACACCCAAGTTTCTGGTCCCACTTTGGAGTAAGAATGGGGTAAATTTTTTCCCCCTCTATCAGTATTCTCCTTAGTAACATAAAAAGTTGGACCAGAGGATCTCTACAAGTGCAGGACTCAGAAAAATAAGTGTGAAGGTATCATAACTATACTTTTCAGTTACAAATCTTGACCTCATCAGGGGCTAGACAGCTCCTCACCTGTTTGATTCGGGAACGGGCTGGGGAGCTGCGCCTTCGCCCCTTGTCCCCCTCAGCTTTGCCTCCGCTGATAGCTGTCCCAGCATCACACAGTAGTGAGTCATCAGTCTCTGGCAGTGAGTCGGTACAGAGCCTCAGGGAGCCCTCATCTCGAACTGGACTCACATCTGTAGATACTCCCAACTCCATGGACAGAGAGCCGCCTCCCTCAGGGTCAGGAGAGCCCAGTAGGGGCTCTGAACCAGGAAAACTGGCACTGGCATCGCCCTGGCTCAGATTAGAGATCTCATTTACAATGTCGGATTTGATGAGTGTGGGTGGTATGGGGACCACTGGTGCACTGGGCTCCTCCTGTTCTTCACAAGGTGAGCCCTGCTCTGCCTGCTTGCATTCCGGGCCATAGACCTCCATAGGAGTCACAGGGGCCAGCTCCTCTGGGTCAAGGAGCACAGGGGAACCTTTAAATTCACTAGCTGAACTGCCAGGAGTTTGTCCAGCCTCTGGCTGTGAACCAGGAGCATCAGTCCCATCAAGAGGGGCTATGTCCTCCCCCAAGCCAGAGAAGTCATCCAGGGCTGGGGCAGGGCTAGGGGCAGGACAGGACAGATCCCCCACAGGGGAGGGGAGAGGGCTGGTGGCACTAGGTTCCAAGGCTGGGCATTCAGGTTCTGGGCCTTTCTCAGTCTCCATCTCATGTGACTCAGCCTCTTCTGAGACCTCCACTGCCTTCCCCATGGGACTCAATGGAGAGGGGACTGACAGTGGCAAAGCAGGAGGGGAACAGTGGGAAGGAGAGGAGTTTGGGGGCGGTGAGGAATGCTGAAGGAGTGGAGAACATTGGGGAGGAAGGGGTCCCATCAGGATGGGAGAAGCAGGCCCCATTGGGGAACTTGGAGATGGGGGAAGGATCATTGGAGGCACAGGCTCAGGGTCAGTGCAGTTAGCTTCTGGAGGAGGGCTGATGGGTGTCTCTAGGATGGGGGCAGCCAATGGTGACTCAGGGTCACTGTCCCCTTTGCCACCAAACGGGTACTCTAACTCTCCCAAAGGAGACAGAGCCGGCGGGGCCGCAGCTGGGATAATGGGTGAGAGTGGAGGAGGAAGAGGATCTGGTGGGGAGAAAAAAGAAGGGCTCTTAGATTAGATGTACTGTAAAAAGTTAAGATTTTCCCAGAGAAAGGAGGAGCCAATATCAGTATCCCTTACCTGGTGGCATCAGCTGAGGCGACAAGGATGGCTCTCTTGATGGGGACAAGGGCAGCTCCTCAGGCAGAGGGGACAGAGGTGGTTCCCCAGGCTCAGACAGGGCCGGCTCTCCAAGCAAAGGGGATAAGGGTGGCTTCCCAGGTTGGGAGAACAAAGGCAACTCCTCAGGTGGGGGGCACTGGCCTGGTACCTCGGGAGGCTCTTCAGGCTGAGGGGACCCACAAGGTAACTCAGGCTTGGGGGACAGGCATGGCTCCTCAGGTATGGGGGATGAGTGGGACTCCTTTGGCTGAGGGGACAGGCATAATTCCTCAGGCTGAGGAGACAAGTGAGGTTCCTCAGGCTGGGGAGATAAGTGTGGCTCCTCAGGCACAGGGGATAGGTGTAGCTCCTCAGGCTGAGGGGATAGGCTTGGCTCCTCAAGCACAGAAGACAGGCATGGCTCCTCTGGCTGCGAAGACAAGTGCAGCCCCTCAGGCTGGGGACAGTGTAGGGGCTCCGCAGGCTGGGGACAGAATCGAGGTTCCTCAGGCTGGGGGGATAAGTAGGGCTCCTCAGGCTGGGAAGACAAGCGTGGCTCCTCAGGCTGCGGGCAGAGTCTTGGCTCTTCAGGCAGTGGTGACAAGGGTGACTCCTCCAATGGTAGGGACATGAATGAGTTCTCCGGTGGTGGCGAAGCAGGTGAGTCTTCAGATAACAGGGATGTGGGGGAGTCCTCAGGTGGTGGGGATAGGCGTGAAGCTTCAGGTGGAGGCGATGTGGGCGATTCCTCAGGGGGTGGAGATAGGGGAGATTCCTCAGGGGGTGGAGACAGGTGTGACACTTCAGGCAGGGGAGACAAGCATGATATCTCAGGTGGGGGAGACATAGGAGAGTCTTCAGGCGGTGGGGACATGGGCGAGTCCTCAGGAGGTGGGGACAGGCGTGATGCCTCAGGAGGTGGGGAGAGGGGAGACTCCTCAGGTGGAGGGGACAGAGGAGACTCTTCAAATGGTGGGAACAGACGAGATGCCTCAGGTGGTGGAGACATAGGCGATTCTTCAGGTGGAGGGGACATGGGTGACTCCTCGGGTGGTGGAGATATGCGAGATGCTTCAGGTGGTGGAGAAGTGGGCAATTCCTCAGGTGGAGGAGACAGGGGCGACTCTTCAAATGATGGAGATAGGGGTGATGTTTTTGGTGGTGGGGACAGGGGTGTCTCAAGTGCAGGAGATATAGGTGACTCCTCTGGGGGAGAGAGGGGCGACTCCTCCAGTGGAGAAAAAGGTGATGAGTCAGGCAGGGGAGAAAGAGGAGATTCCTCAGGTGGTGGAGAGAGGGGTGACTCTTCAGGCAGCAGGGACAAGCATGACGCCTCAGGCGGTGGGGATGCAGGTGACTCCTCAGGTGGTGGGGATAGGCGTGAGGCCTCAGGTGGCGGGGATGTGGGTGATTCCTCAGGTGGCGGGGACAAGGGTGACTCCTCAGGTAGGGGTAGCAGTGGCATCTCCTCATTTAGTGGGGCCTCCGACTGAGGCTCAAGTTGGGCCCCTGCTCTCCCTGCAGATATAACACATTATATTCCTACCTGGTCCATAGAAAAGTGCAGGTCTGAGGCAAAGCAAAGCTGTCTCTTATCAGAGAATAAAAGGAATCTTCAAACCCTACTCACCTAGTGGTTTGACTTCACATTGCAGGGGCCCCAGTTCCTTGGGTTGCATAGAGGTCACGTGCCCACTCTTTGGCTGCCCTTGGCATGCAACGTACAGAGCATCAGGCCCATCAGTAGGGATATCACCAGATTCTGGGGGTGAAAATCTGCAGAGGGTACAGAGGAGCAGGTACTGTGGCTCTCATCAGTTAACAACTAGAGAGCAACCTGGGGTGAGCCATGAATATTGTGGACTATTCTGCCCACCTTCGAGCTCTCCTCTAACAGTTCACTTGTTTTAAGATGGCCCTTGACAATCTCAGTCCTTCTGACCCCATTCCTATCTCAACCAGTCACACTACTTACTTGCTACAGACAGAGGGATGCTGCTCAGCAACAGAACTGACAGGCTGACCTTCCTGGGCTTTGTGGCAGCGGTGACAGAGCGAGTAGTTCTCAAACCACTCAGAGTTGGGATTCAGCTCTGATGAGCCTGCCCCACAGACCCGGCACACCCGGCAAGCCTAGCAGAAAAAAGTGGGCAAAACAGGCACTGATCAGACCAACAGTAGACACTGAAGAAGGAGTACAGGTTTGGTCATGCAGGGAAACTCAGGGTACAGTAAGAGGCAAAATCAGGAGACACTCACTTTACACTTCCAAGAATGAGCAGGCAGTTCCTCCATGGGTGGTTTTAAGCAGAAGGTATGGTACCCTTTGTCACACGTCTCACACACCAGCATCTTAGAGTCATTCCCAGGTTTTCTGCAGGGCACATGGTACAGTACAGAGTCCTTCCCCTTTACCTCATTTTTGACTCTAACCTGTACTTTGAAAGGCATCCCTCCTGCCCTCTTTACTCTTACCTGCAGGCTTGGCACACTTTGCATTCAGGGCACTGCCAACCAGCACGTTTGCGGGCAGTCAGAGCAGTGTCTAAGCAGGCCCCATGATAGTGATGCCCACAGCTGGTACAGAAGAACATGTTACACAACTCCCCAGGCCCCTCACATACTGCACAGCGAGCCTCCTCTGCAGTGGGAAGGGATAGACATCACAGATTAGCTACAGATTTCTGGCATGACCAGGGACAAAACCATATACATTGTTGGTATTCCATGGGCACAGAATGAATGAATGATGAATAGTAATAAGTGCATCTCCAATAAACACCAGGTACTATTCTAGGCACCACACACACCATGGAAAATGAGACAGGCAAAGTCCCTGCACTCCCAAAGTTCACGCCTAATTTAAGGGGGCAGGATGACAGGATACAATTATAGATTTTGACAAACGCTTTGCAGAGTACCAAATTTCAAGGCACACTTGGCCTGTCATTTGCCCTACGTCCAAAGAATAGGACTTCGCACCCAGATGCGCAGCTCCCTCACTGTGCTCTGGGCATAGCAGCTGCAGTGTTTTCATGGATAAGAAGGAACCACTGGCCGTTGCGCAGGGGAAATGGTAAAGCCGTGGACATCCAGATGAGCGGCAAGGAATGGAGGCACCAAGCCTGGTGCAGTGGGAGCAGCGCTGCCAAGGATGGAGACAAAGCCTTAGTGCCAGTCAGCTTTTTCCACAGAAACAGTTTAAGCATTAGCTCTGCCCCCATATGTCCACTGTCCTTCTCATCCCACCCTGACTCTCAGAAGCCCATCAGCCCTGCCCACCCTTGGCAAGCCCAGCCCTGCTTTTGCCTACACAAATCCCGACTTTGGCCCTACCTGTGAGATCCCTGAGAAGACGGCCTTGTCCACACCACATAGTTCTGGACCCTCCTGTCCCCACACACCTGCTGACCACGCAGCACACCAATGATGTGCCCAGCAGGACCCTGTATGGGTAGGAAGAGGTAAACAGAGAGCAGAGTTAACAAGGTGACAGCCAGCTCAGGATAACCCAGTACCTACCCTGTTTCTTCCCCCAACTTCCTCTCACCTCCAGGTTCTCCTAAATGGGCAGGTGTAAGGCCCTCAGGGAAACCGATCTGTGATGGGTCCTCACTGGGCAGCACTGCTTCACTGGGGCCTGCATTCCCACCAGGGGCCACCACTGGAGACCGGGGCCAATCAAATGGCAACTCGAAGCGCCGTAGTTCCCGTTGCCCATGCAGACTGGGCTCTCCGCAGTTACAGAGAGCACAACGCCGCACCAGACCCCCACTGTGGACACACAAGCATCAGCACTGTGCCAGGACCCTGCCAATCCCACGAGTTGGCAAACCCATACTTCTAAATCCTGTTCCTTGAGTCCTAGACTCAAATCAAATCCTCTTGTGCCCATATGCCCCTATTTCTTCCAAATGAGTTACCTGCCGTCACGGGGAGGCTCCTGAAGCCTAGGACTCCCATGACAGAGGTCAGATACCTCCCCAATATGTGAATTGGGAAGGTCTGGCTCAGTAGCGCCTGGATCCTCAGAGGCTGCAGGTCCATCAGCTGAATGAACAGAGCAACATGTGTCAGCCTGATTTAATACTAAGTCCATATATCAGATCTATGAGGTTATTCAAAACCCTTTGTCTCAAAGAATGAAATCTTCATTTAGCTATTACACAGACTTAGCTCATGTCCTTGTGCCAGTACCAATAATGTAAGGTTACCCATCAAGAGTCATTGGAAAACACAGAATTTGTCCTACTTACCTGCCGGTTCTGAATCTTTATCCTCACCAGGCTGCTTCTGGCCGTCCATCCCTCTCTCCGACTGGGCAGGGCCCTCTCGGGGAGACCTGTTAGTACCAAAAGATATCTGTATTCCATTATGTCTCCCCAATAATCTCTTTTCCCAGAATCCCAGGAGGAAGTCAGCCAATGATATCAGATCTTACAGACACCAGAGCCAAACCTTACCTACAAACTCCCATACTAATGGCAAAGAAAGTTATTCTTCCTAACCCTTATTGCACTGCATAGTTACTCTCCAGATAAACATGTACCCTCTTCTCCCACTCTGGATTATCAGGGGATTGAGTTCACTTTCCCACTTCCACCCTTCATAACAGTTCCTAAGGCTCAGTAACACATCTTATTTTACATCTAATTTCACCCTTTGCCTCATCTCTGAGCCCCTGGTTTCTAGTGGGATCTATCCCTTGGCCTGGATGTTTCCTCAGCTAACATCCTAGAGGCTTGTCAATGCCAACCCAGAAGTAATCAATAACCTAGGAAATCTGAGTTCATACAAAAATCCCTTTTCCTGAAGCAGAGTTTTAGGCCCTTGGAACACACACACACACACACACACACACACACACACCCCTCACACACACAACTCAAACTAAAACTTCCCTGAAGCAGTGGGAAAAAAAACACACACCACTTGAACTAAAACCTAGTGATGGATGGATCTCCCCAATCCCACTTATTTACACTTATTTAAAGTAGGTCATCCCAATCACAACAGGAAGAACCCCAGTTTCTATCCAACTGTCCTCATTTAGAGCTCAGGCCCAACCCTACCCAAGACTAAATTAGTCCTGGTTCTCACCCAGCCTGAAGGCCTCGGGTTGTTGCCCTTAGCAACGCCAACTGCCCTTCCTTCTCTAAAGTCCCTAGTTAACAGAAGTGGGCCTGAAGAGTTACTGAGCATGTGTAGCCGGCCTGAAGCTAAGCATGCTGGGAGTTGTAGTCTCAGGAAGCACACTGCCACTTGGAGGAGGTCTAAATGGGGCAGGACACAGCAGAGTAGCTTCCTTCCTCTTCCGTCAAAAGGGTTTCCACATACATAGGCGGGGGGGAATAACGGTCCTCTGTCCCCCTTCTATGATATGTTATCCTGTACCACAGTCAAATGAAACACACTAAAGATAAACCTCAAATCCTTGGATATATTTCTCTTGATCTCAGAGGAATATAAGCATAGTACAAAAAACTAAAGAGTAAAGGACAAGAATAATTATCGAAATGAGGAATAGGAAGAGAAATATAAAAAGAGATAAGAATAGTTACCAGCAGCTGTTAGTGAGAAAGGCAGACCCCTCTGTTAATCAGAGAAAGGAAGTATGTAATATTTTCAGTATACAGTAATAGAAGATGACAGCAGGGTGGGAGAAATCCCTAAGAAAGAACTGTAAATAATAAAAGTTTGAGAAATTTATCTCCACATTTTCCACTTAACAAGCATGTATACAGTAACTTCAGTAGAGAAAACCCTATACTCTCAAACTTAAAGCCAAAGGCTGGGTATATAGTTCAAGGGCACAGCACCTGCTTGCCAAGCACAAGGTCCTGAGATTGATTCCCTATACCAAAAACAAAAACAAAAACAAAACTGAAAGCCAAGCAACCCAATCAACTACTTGAGGCTGAATGACAGTGAAACCCTCAAAGGTACCCAAGATTGGCTAATCCATTCTCTAATTATCAGAGTATCAGTCCTCTTTCCCTGAGCTCATACTTTATTTGTAAATATTGTCAATACCCCTCCTGCGTCCTGTCACAGCATGGACGTTATTTTAGTTATCCCTTAACACTGAGCCTACCAAGTAGGGAACATTAAAGCATCACTTGATATGTGTCATGGTCATTCTCAAGTCATCTCTCTTACCCAGCCCTGCCACACAGCCACATCTAAAAGGAAAGCAAGGTGGGTGGGTCACCTGGCCAGCTCACAGCAAAACTGCTCTAGAACTCTAAGAGTCTCTTAGAAACTAAGTATGGGATGTAGAGTTGGAGGTCAGAGCAACAGCCAGAACCCTCTTGTCAGTCATGCAAGACCTGGCCACACCCAGAAGGTCCAAAGAGGCCTCAAAAAGTTTCCTTAATGTTGCATCCTTCTTTACCTTCACTACCACATGCCCCTAAAGAGGCTCTATGAACTCTGTCCTCAGAGTTGAAGCCAAAGGAGTCACAAATAACAAGAAATAAAAAGCAACAGTGATAATACACTGGGTAGGAGGAGAACCGCCTCACACAGGCCAGAGGGACAAATTCCTCTGCCCTCCCCCGAGCGGAGTCCTCTCAGCCTGGTAAAACTGGCACTGCCTAAGGTACAGAAAGCACCTTCATCCAGCCTTGGGGAACAGAATACAGGGCCAATAGCCACAAGTCAAAGCCCCCTTTAGTGGGCCAGAGGATGAGATTAACAAGCAGGAAAAGTATCTTCCAAGCTGTTTCAGAAACAATCTAGAGGCACCTCCAAGAAGCTTGAACCTCAGTCCCTACTTTTCACCCCTGCAGTACAGGATCTGCTCCTCAATGCTGAGTCTCACTGCTAAGCCCTTGAACATGTCTAAAGAAATAAAGGCAGCAGTTAAGTTCCCCCGGTCCAGTCACTCACAGCCAGTACACACAGATACACATGTACACCAATGAGTTTTCCCTGAACTGGGCTAGTGCCTGACCAGGCACAGGGCTAGTCTTCTGATCCAAGGAGTAAAACAGCTGACATCCCTTAGTTCTACACGAAAGAAGCCCAAAATAGCAAGAAAGAAGACAGGAATTTGTCTCAAACCACTGTCCTCCCTGTATTCATTCCACATCAATAACTTTTACTCCCATTTTCCCAGCCAAGGGGGAAATGGAGGCTTGGACAGGTGAAAGGCTAAAGCAGGCCCTTAACTGAACAGCTCTTCAGTGGGATTCAGGACTTCCTGGTTCCCAGCCTGAGAATCAAACCACACCTCTCTCCACCCCCACTTTGGGTCAGCCTTCCAGGAAGGATCCAAATGGCAACACTGATCTGCAGACCTTCCACCCTATCCTTGGGTCTTCCTAAGGGCAGCCACAGCTAACAAGGTGCATTCTCACCTAAGGAAATTGTCTGGAGAGACAGCAGGAGGGACCTTCCACAGAAGAAAGGAACACAGCACAGCTGATAGCTCACCTCACTCCACCACCTATGTGCCACTCTCACCTCCCAGAAATCTTTCAAGGGCAAACCCCTCACTTTTCCCTTTCCAAGACCAGACTCAAGGAGATCAAGCACATGTATGTTGGAGGGGGTAGGGTGAGGGCCAAAATGCACTAGCCAAATCCCTGCTGTGCAGCATGACAGGTGTGAAAGGGGCTGTCCAAGCCCAGGGCCCAGACTCTGAGGCATGAGGCTCATGCTGCATCCCTCCTGCACATATCTCCTTCTCCCCAGCACCTCCTGCCAGGGCTAGAAACACTGGCTGCCAACAGTAAAGAGCTCTAATCAAGTCTTTTCTCCTCTAAAGAGGTACAGGCCACCCTACTCTGCAGGGCTAGGGCAGGATCTGAGAACCAGTTAACACTCCCTGGTCAGAAAAGGGTGAGAGAGGTCTGGGAGGGGCCTCCAGATTGGACATGGACTCATGGGCAGCTAGCTCTCCACACCAGGCCCAAAGAGCGGGAGACAAAAGCCATTTTTTGCAGCCCACATTCGCAGGAAACAAATCTCAACGGCCTCCTCTATAATCCCCTGGAGATTATGTCCATCCCGAGAGGAGGGGAGGCAAGGCAGGCAGTGTCTTCAGCACTAGGCCTCACTAGGGTCACTTTGCCAGGAAGGGGTAGTTTAAAGTTGAAGAGCAGGGCCAGAGCTGCCCCCAGCCCCGCCTCCTTCTTGCCCAGCAACCCCTTTTATCACACTAGTCGGTTTCCACACCCCCTCTCCTCTGCTCAGAGAAGGCCTGGTGAAGGATCTAGGGTTCCTTGAGTTTACCAAACACTACTCTGAGTCCCCGCCTGGAGTAAAAACAACCTTAAAGTCCAACCTGGTAGTAAGTCCGGCCTGGCAGAGGCACCCTTCCCCTCATCCCAAGTTGTGCTGTCCCATAGCCCAGAGGAATCCCGAGGGAAGCAGCAGGAGCCTAGGATTAGTGCTAGCAAAAGGGCCTGGGTCCTAGTTTGGGCGAACTCCCCTCAACACAAAAATAAACAAGCAGAGAGGCGATCTGGGCAGGTTCCCAAACTCCTGTGGTTCTCTGAACCCCTACTCTTTAAAAAGGCACACCTCAAGACACCAGGCCTCGGGTCTGCACTGGCGACTGGCTCAGGTTCCCTTGACAGACCCTGCCAAAGGAACCCTCCCCAGTTCTGGCATCCCCTTCTCTAACCTAAAGGCCAGCACCGGCCAAGATAGTCCATCTGGCTGGGCCCCCAGTCCAACCCTTTCTGGGCCCTGGCCGGGAGGACTTCACTCACCTCTTCATAGGGCGATCCAGAAATCCTCATCCGAGAACATGGCCAGAGCCCGGGCCGCTCCCCGACCTCCAACCGCCAGAGCGATCACAGCCGCCCCCCGCACGGGGGGGCTTAGGGAGGCCAAGAACGGTAAATCCAGGTCTGAGTGGCCTCCCTCCCCCCTTCCACGAAAAAAGCAAGAAGCCAAAGGGAGGTTCTCCACCTCGGGTTCCAACAGTTTAGGTTTCCATGGACAGCCCCAGGGCGGCGAATCCCGAGCGGACACAAAGAGAGCACCGGTGGCTTTGATCTTGGGCGAGCAGGCTCCGCATCCGCGTTGCAGGGCGGCCTCTGAGTCCTAGGGCCCGGCCAGCGCCCCGGCCGCCCGCGCCGGGCTCGGGCGGAACGTCGAGGCTCTCCAGATGGAACGTCGAGGCGCCTCCCCAGCAGCCCGGAAGGAATGCCGCGCCGCCCCGCGCCGGGCCCGGATGGAACGTGAGCCCCTCAAGGCAGCGCCGAGCCCCTCTCCCCGCCCGGCCGGCGCCCTGGGGCCGCGCGAGCTACGGCGTCGCGGGGCCGGCGGGGCCGCGGGCTGAACCTGACACACACCCAGCGCCGGGCTCCTCGACCCCGAGCGCTCGCCCCCGCCGGCTTCGAGCCCCCCACTTTCTGCTCCCCCCGGGAAAGGGAGGAGGGTAGGTGGGCGAGGAAGAGGAAGGGGCGGGCGGTGCGAGCCCTCTGCCCGCTCCCCTCCGGCCGCTCCAGGCCCTGGGCTCGCCTCCCTTCCCCTCCGGCCTCGGAAGCTGCCCCGCCCCCGGCCTGGCTGGCTCCGGTCAGCGGCACCCCCTAGACCCCCGGCCGGCTGTGATCGCAGGGGGCCTAGAGGTGCATGGCCCAGCCCGGCTCCCGGCGCCGGGGGTCAGGAAACTGAGCGGAAAGTGGGGAACGAGGCAGCCATTTGCAACCGGAGAGGAAAGTAGTGCAGCGCGGCGCCGCTCCGCCTCCCCCCCTCCGCCTCCTGTTCGGCCGGTAGGGTGGTTCCTGCGAAAGGGCTATTTTCTGGCCTGAGATCTTGGCAATAATCGTAGAGATTCGTGAAGCCTCCGGCGCAAGACCTAGGGGGGTGCCTTTTGCTCGGGGAACCCCATTCGAGAAGGGGAGAAAGCAGAAGATGCGGCCCTATTTTGTGTTGGAGCGGGGAGGCGGAGGGATACAGTCCTCTCGGAGGAAAGGCTGTGACTCTGCAGTTCTACGCACACGCTGCGGGATCCCTCCGCCTCAGGTTAACCCCGACTGCGCCGGGCCGGCGACTGGGTAGACACGTGGGAAAGAAGCCCCCCTCCTCTGCACCCTGGACCTGGAACTGCTGCCTTTACTGCCTGGGCGGTAATACTAGGGTTCTGGCCAATTTCTAGTTCCGTTTACTTGTAGTCATTGGTCTCTGAAACTCCTATCCCCTTGCTTTGACCAGGGGCAATCTTTCCCGGGAGGGGGATGGAAGAGGTAAGAGATTGGCCGCTGCTCTGCATCCTGGGAACTGGAGTCCGCAAATGGAGAAAGTGAGGCACCGCGCCTGGCACTGCAAAGGGTAGGTTCTTGCCACGTTGGGGGGTCCCGAAGAAAATTGAACAAGTCTCTGGTCTTCGGACACTCGTATACCCTCATGAGGAAGGACCACCCAGTGCCCTCACAATCCCCAACACATAGCACCTCCCCTTCAAAACATTAATGCAGAGCCTAAGAAGCCTTTGCAGGGTGTCCCCACCCCCATCTCTAGTCTTTCCAAATCTCCAATACCAGCTCTTTTTTTTTTTTTTTTTTTAAATAAGTTCGGCCTCGTTACTACCTGGCCGAAATACTGTTACTTGGGACAATATCAAAGAACACACTCCTGACAGGCACTCACATTCCAGTCTTGGATGAGAGAAACAGATTGGAATGCATTTTCTGCTTGAGCTATATGTACACATGAGGTAGGCAGGAGACAAACTATTGCTAGATACTTGATATCTTAGTTATTCCGAACCACATTATGAATTACATAGAAATATCTCCCTATTACAGATAAAAAGATTGAGGCTAAAATAGATAAAATTGCCCAAGGAATCACATTGTGAGAACTTGAACAGTGATTTAAACCAAAAGCCATGTTTTCTTTTTTTTTTTAAAGCCATGTTTTCCTACAATTTAAAAATACTTTTTTAAAAAAGGCAGGAAAAGGGGGCGGGGATTTAGGTCAGCGGCATAAGCGCCTGCCTTGCAAGCAGGCAGTCATGAGTTCGATCCCCGGTACCGATAAAAAGACAAAAAAAAAAAAAAGGCAGGAAAAGAAGCAGGCAAGTTTGGTCCACAGCCAAGTGTGGTAGTGTATGACTGTAATCCCAACAACACTTGCTAGCATGGACTACACAGTGAGATCCTGTCTCAAAAAAAAAAAAAGTTCAGAGCCAGTTTTGTGGAGAAAGGATTCCATTAAAGTCCAAAGAAACTTTCTGCAATAATACAAAGTACTGTTTCTATATGATAATATAGCTGATAACTACATGTAGCTATCCACACATAAGCATCACATCCTCTGTTCTGACCACTCGGGTCCATTTCAGAGAAAAACAACGAAACAGCTTCAGCAGTGACTTTGCACCTGTCCCTACTGTAGTAAAATAACTGGGAGACAAGTTGGAAAAGAACCTTTCCCGACCAGAGGCAGGGAAAGGTAGACAGACCCTTACCAGAAGGACCTCCAGTAACAGCTGCCATTTTTAAGAGCTTATTATGGGGCTGGGAATTTAGCTCAGCAGTATAAGCGCCTGCCTTGCAAGCAGGCAGTCGTGAGTTCGATCCCTGGTACCGATAAAAAAAGACAAAAAAAAAAAAGAGCTTATTATGTAGAATGCTCATCTTTATATCATCTCAATTCTCACCTCAACTCTCTGAAGCAGGCTTAGCTACATTTTGTAACTGAGGCCCAGAGAAATTAAATGGCTACCCAAGTGCCTATATAGAAAAGCCACTAACCACTAAAATCACTTTGTCTCCAGGATTTGAGATTGCTTGTGGATCTAGAAAATATCAGCTGTTTATAAGTGTACCCCAGACCTGATAGATATGGCAGAGGTAGGTCCCTGAAATGACTGTCCTGGTCAGATGTACAAAAAGACCTTATTATAGTGAGAAAAGATTGTGACAAGCCTGAAGAATCTCTTAAGCCACTGAGATTGTTCTTCAGAGTATGTTTTTTCAGCAGTCCTTATTCATTTTTGGATTCTGGATCACAAAAAGAAAAGCAGCTGGCAGGATTTTTGAAAATCAGATGACAAATCGTCTTCAACTATATACCTAGAGCTACACACTGACAAGATCAGAACTAATTTTGTCTATCCTCCCCAAGTAAGTGTATTAAAAGGGTACTTCAGCCTCCTTTAGTTAGCAGGAGAGATCTTTGTCCTCACTGTAAAAATGACACTGAGGTAACCACTATACAGATAACCCTAACAAGTCCTTGGAGAAGACTTGCTGGCTTTCAGGTTGGGAGCAATATGGAGTCAAGAAAAATAGAGGCAAAAAGATCAAAACCAAAATTGAAATATCCATTTCCTTCTGAGGCAGCAATCAATGGAAAGGTCAGAAATCAAAGCCTTTTAACATCTAAAAAAAAGGTACACAATTGCAGAAATGTGAAAAGATCACCAAATGTATGAATGCCCATTGTTATAATGAAAAAGATTAGTTATATGAGGGGCAGATGGACTGGTGCAGTATGGGTATTCTTTGCAACTTTCTTGGGGAATCAAAATCTTTTAGTTTCTACCTTTATATTCCTTCCTGATTTTGTTTTTTGAAACAGGATCTGAGTAGCTTAGGCTGGCCTTAAACTCTCCATTCTCCTGCCTCAGCCTCTCCAATGCTGAGATTACAAGCATGCAAGCATGCACCACCATGCCCAATTCCCCTCAGAAGTGAGGGGCTTCCTTTCCCCCTCCGCAAATCCTAGCCACTGAGTTGCAGCAAGTGCCAAGGCCCATGGATAGCCAGGCTAGCATGTGGCAGCTGGCCACTAGAGGGTGATGTTTCTGCAGTTAAAGGATCCTCAGCCACAAATTTGGATGGGTAGGACCTCCAACTAAACTGTACAGTACAGGGAGAATCAAACAGAATAGGAAGGTGAGAAAAGGAAGTATAAATCTTAAGAGTAATGGTCCTGGTAGGCGTGGTGGCTTACACCTATAATCTCAGCATTCTGGAGGCTGAGATGGGGGATCAAAAAAAAGTAATGGTCCTTAATAAATGACTAATAAGGACTAGGAATGAGATAGGAGGAAAGATCTCCAAATACCACAGCCACTATGACACGGTATGCTCTGCCTTGCCCCAGATACAGAGACATAAACACAAATGATTGTTGATTTTATTTGCATATATGCATTGTCAGCCCAGGGAGTCAACTCTTTCAGGAGTCCCTAGCTCTCCTTACCCACCCAACACCTGAAACCTACACAGAATGAGCCCTTGACAAACAATCAGAGGACTCAATTACCAATTCTGCATATTATAGCAGTTCATTTAGAACAAATAGGGATAGGGGCCAGTGCCCATGGGACACCCCTGCCCTTTTGTAAACATTGACACCCAGGCCACTGGAGCCTAGGGAAGGTATGCAAATGTGAGGGTACCACACTGTTCCCATAAGGCCATAGACACACTGGCAACCATACCCATAAAGTCCTGAGGGTCTGCCCTCACTGAAGCATTTGCCAAGGGCAGAAACAAGGCAGTCACCCCATGCCTGAGAGTTCACATGAGACAGCATCGATGATCTTGCTCATAGGAATTCTCCACACGGGCAATCTCCTGGATAACTCTGGTGAAGATGCTTTGAGTCAGCTACAAGGAAGGGACAAGCATTCAAGGGAAATCAGTTAGCTCAGTGCCAATATCAGCTTGCTGTAAGACTGTCCCATCCCCATCATCCCCACCACCAAAAAAATGTACAAGGAAAGCACTGCTATCCCCAGTTTTTAGAATTCAGGCCCAGCACCTGATGCTCTCGAGCAGATGACTCCATAAACGTTGCACCCCAGGACTCTGCTAGTTTCTTCCCTTGGACTGCCTGCACCTCTCTGGAAGCAAATTCAGGACATAAAGATGCAAGATAGCAACCTCTCCAAGTTTTCTGCAAAATATAATCTAGACTTTACAATCTGATGCTTTAGAACTGAGGCTTAAAATAATAAAACTGCAGCTCTTGTGATAGGAGGCTTTTTTTTTTTTTTTTTTTTTTTTTTTTTTGAGACAGGGTCTTCTTATGAGGATCAGGCTGACTGTGAACTTATTTATGTGGCCGAGGCTAGCCTTGAACTCATGGTGATTGTCTTGCCTCAGCCTCCCCAGTGCTGGGATTATAGGCGTGTGCTACCACACCCAGCTCAGAAGAGCTATCTTCGGGGCTGGGGATTTAGCTCAGCGGCATAAGCGCCTGCCTTGCAAGCAGGCAGTCGTGAGTTCGATCCCTGGTACCGATAAAAAGGAAAAAAGACAAAAAAAAAAAAGAGAGAAGAGCTATCTTCTCCATTAAATTAGAAATAGAGATGAAATGACTTGAGTCAGCAGTGCAGGCAGGATTGGAGTTTGACTAATTACTAGCTCTTCTAGAGATTTACATACCTATCTGAAGAAAGATCTGCCTTGTTCCCCACTAGCACCACTGGCAACCTGTAAGGAAACAGCAATCATTATAGGACTTCTCCCACGTTCTATGAACCCCAACTGTGTTCATATCCAGGCCTTTATATACCATCAAAATAGTCCAAATCTATACCCCTACTTCCTCTGTGACTTGGACAGTTAAGCTCTCTGCTGTCTCCCACTGTTTCTTTCCCACACTGTGTTACTGATTGGGCCACTTACTGGGTCTTCCCATGGCCTTGGTGTAGCTTCTGGTACAGATTCTCAATGATATGGAAGCTTTAAACACAAGAAACAGAGATGTGACCTTAGTTCTGGGAAGTCCTCAGGTCCTCCCCAAGTCCCCCGCTCACAACCTTGGTCACTTACCTATGCAAAGAGGTGACAGAATACACAAGCACATAACCATGGATCCCAACGATGAATGAATAGGGCAGAATGCTGTATTCATCCTGACAAGAAATAGAAACATCAGTACCTAGATCCATACCATGCAGATGCCAAAGGCTAGTGGGACAGCATCCAAGTGACCCTCCCTGCAGTGTTCCCTTCTTGTCACTTCTTGTCAACAAGTATTTATGGAGTAGCTCCAAAAAGTTGTGCACACTGCTAGAAACTAAAATACTATTCTTTGAATACTGCTTTACACATGAACCAGAAGTTAGCAGACTTCATCTCCTAGGGCTGAACTGCCATATTTGGATACCCTACCCCAACTGGTACCTGCCCTGCTGTGTCCACCAGGTGTAGGTGAAACTCATCTTTGCCAAGAGTCACTATCTTGCTGTAAGCTGAAAAGAAAAGAAAACTTGACTGTGATGTGTCTTGTAGCACTAGCAATGTATGCTCCCTATATTCTTTACCCTGGGAGTTACATAACTGGATCAGATCCATGGAGTTCTCCAGGAAACTAGAGAGACAAGCCAGTGGTTTTGTTTATTCTGTTCTGAGACATGGTCTCACTGTGTAGTTCAGTCTGGCTTTAAACTTGTGGTGATCCTCCTGTCTCAGCCTCCCTAGTGCTGGTATGGCCCACCACACTCAGCTCTAGGATACTTATTATCTCCAGAACTGCTAGAGAAATTAGATTTAGGATATTTAGGGTATTTATTATCTATAGAATTGCTGGAGAGGTTAGATTTAAGGATTGAATAAATCAGCTCCTGGTTTGGAAATCCCAAATTATGGAGCTGGGTGGAGCACCCAAGAACTCCAAGACCCCTCCCTGTTACACTAAAAGTAAGAAAACTACTCACCATTCTCCACTGTAGGATCATAGCATTCCAAGAACTCGCCTTTCACAAACTGATGTGCCAAAGATGTCTTCCCTTTGAGAGAAGGTAGTTAGCAGTTGCATTACAATTAGCCATTCAACTTATTTGTCCTTTTGGACTGTGACCCAGGACTAAAGGGCACCCCAAATCAGCATCCCGATCTGAATTTCCCAAGCAAGGTCTTCCTTTACCCTGTTATCGATTTCTGTATGTGTTATGGTCACACGAATCCTGAGGCTCCACAGGCAGGCTTTCCCGCCGCCTTTTCCCACCATATTCCCATCTGATCCAAGACTCCCTAAAACCAAGCCCGGCCCGCCCCTGAACATTTGCGACTATTTGCTCCAAGAAGACAGCGCCAGTGAGTTCAAATCCCGACCCCACCCTTCCAGCTTAATAGCGGGGACCATTGTGATGCTCCTAAAGCCAAGTTTAATCCTTACATGCTCCGCTTACCGCAGCCCTCGACACAGCATCAGCCTTCTGCCCCCATCCTCCCAAACCTCACTTCTTCCGGGGTCGCCGCGGTTGCCCGGGGCGCATTCCCGCTCTGCGAAGGGCGGAGCTCACCTACAGAGCGGTGCCCGAGGATCACCACCTTCCTGTAGCGGACCAGCGGCATGGCAGGAACCAGCCCCGAGTGGCTTGCGCAACTGCAAGACGAGAGAGCCCAAAGAAGGCACTCGGGGGTAGCTACGTGCAGCAACCAAGCACGAAAGTTGTGCGAGCCGCACCTGCCCAAGTAAGCTAAAGAAAAACCAAAACAAGCGCCGCGCCCGGAGCCGGCCACGTGATCACAACACTGCACTATTAAGGAGAAGCTGGCGCCAGGGAACTTCAGTGCCGGGCTGCTCCAGGCTCCGCCCCCTAAGTTGCTCTCCATTGGTCCATTAGAAAGGATTAAGGCGGTACCGCTGTCGGGAGAAAAAGGTGGGTCTCACGTGGAGCCTGAGAGCAGGCAGCCGCGCATGCGTAGACATAAACGGGTTCATTCATAAAGAAACAGAAAGGAACCCAGAAACCTAAAAGTCTTGCGCTTTTCCAGTTTAGGGTCGAGCGATGAAGCGTGAAGAAAAAAATAACCGTTGTGGGTGGACTTTCTGATCAAAGATCCCAGGCTTCCTTTTTGCAAGGTATCTGGGGTCCTTGGCCAGGGAAAAAAAGGCCAAAAAATTCAGTATATTCCCTCCACTTCCCCAGTCTTCAGCCACAGACCTTTCGTTACCAGGCTTTACAGTCCTCCAGGATCTAGCTTCGCAACAGCAGTTCTTTTTTATTACTTTGTTTTGTTTTAGGATACAAGGTCTCGCTATGTATTTCAAGCTGGTCTGGAACTCACTATGTAGCCCCAGCTAGCCTAACTCGAAATGATCCTCCTGCCTCAGCCTCAGGAGTGCTGGGATTACAGATGTGGCCCACCACGACTGGCCACCAATTCTTATTCTTCAGAAAACTGTTAGAATGTGTGACTGGGAAGCTTGAGTCTTCATCATCATCATTATAATGAATCACTTAGGTATTCAGCAAATATTTACTCGTCATATATCACAAGCACATTGCTCCAGCTTTGGAAATAAAGCAATTAACTTGAAGACAAAAGTCTCTAATCTCACAGAACTTAAATTTTATTGACGGAGAAAGACTGTGTTTGTAGCCCATTGTGAGCACAAGGTCCTGAGTTCAATTCCTAACACACCAAAAAGGTATGTGTGGTAGGGGAATAGACAAAAAAATCAATGTTCAACACAGCACAGTGGTGCACACCTGTGATCCCAGCCCTTGGGCGACTTAGGCAAGAGGATTGCCAAATTTGGACTACATAGCAAGACCCTGTCTCAAAAAACAAAAAAGCCAAACAGAAACAAGAAAGCCAGTTAGCCTAAAACAGATAAAGTCTAAGAGGAAAATAGAGGCCAGGCAACATAAAATCTAGACTTTTTTTTTTTCTGGTGCTGGAAGTTGAACCCAGGACCTTGGCACTGAACCAGATCCCCAGGCTCTTTTATTTTATTTTATTTTATACATGGTCTCACTAAATTGCCCAGGCTGGTCTCAGATTTACAATCCTGCCTCAGCCTCAGAGTGCTGGGATTACAGAAGTGTGCTACCATGCCCAATTTGGGCTAGTTCTAAATATAGATACTGTATTTAGGAAGCAGAGATTAAACCAGAAGTGGTGGCACACACTCATAATTCCAGGACTCAGGAGGCTGAGACAGGAAGGTCATCTTGAGTTCAAGGCCAGCCTGGAATACATATTGAGACCCTGTGTAAAAAAAGAAAGTATATCTTTAGGGTTTGGGATGTAGCTGATTGTTAGAATGTATGTATAGTATGTGTGAAACCTTGGATAGATACCATCCTCAGTACCACCACCAAAAAAAAAAAAAAAGTATTTTTGGAGATCTTTGGCTACCAAGAAATTGAGGTTTCAGGGAAATGAGAGCAATAAAGAAGGGTGGAAGATCAGCTAGGTGACTGTGATTTGTAGTCCAGGTGACTGATACGGCTTGACTACAATAGTAACGATGAATAATATAAAGAGAAAACTCAGGATATATTTCAAAACTGAATGACTGTATAAGGAGTTAAGGAAAAGGGAAAAGAAGAAGGAAAAGCACCTAAATTTATAGGATCCTATGTTATATGCCAGTATACTTTATTGTTCTTAATTTACTACTTATAATAACCATATGATTGATAGCTGGTTTGATTCATTTGTCAGGAAATATATATTAAATCAGGTAGGGCCCATATGTATATTTCAATACCAGCCTAGTGACCACATGAGATCCTGTCTCAAAAAATAAAGCACTGGGACTGGGAATTTAGCTTATCAGCATAAGTGCCTGTCTGGCAAGCTTGAGGTCATGAGTTCCATGCCCGGTACCAAATAAATAAATAAAACCATATATATTATACAATTGCCACATCTCAGATACCCTTCTACTTACTGGTAATAGAGCAGTCAATAACAATCTACAAGCAAACAATAAGTAAATTACAACAAAAAATAATAACCCAAGCCATTTGTTTTAATGACCACCTATAATCCCAGATATTCAGGAGGCAGAGACAGGAAAATCACAAATTCTAGTCTGGTCTGGTCAATTTAGAGAAATCTTGTCTCAAAATAAAATTTAAAAAAGGCTGAGAATGTAGTTTGGGAACAATTCAATGGAAGAAAAAAAGGGACTTAATAGGCTAGAGTAGGAGTGTGGTAACCCTCCTTTTTTATATGATATCTGAGAAAGCCTGTAGAGGTGTTGTTTAATTCCATAATCCAAATGATGGATAATTCTATATTTATCTGCCAGATGGAGACACTGACACATGCTTACACAAATAATTTAAAGAATTTATTTGTTCGGAAGCCCCTAAAGATAAGTGGGTCTTTAGATTATATTGATGGACAGACATTACAAAGCTACAGATCTTTGTCTAATGCTTAAAAAACTGGAAAGCATCCAGGTCTGGTGGTGCATTCCTGTAATTCTAGCATTTGGGAGGCTAAGGCAGGAGGATCATTGCAAATTCGAGGCCAGCCTGGGCTACAAAGTGAGCCCAAGGCCAGCCTGAACTGCATAGCAAGACCCTGTCTCAAAAAGAAAAAAAAAAAAAAAAAAAAACGGAAAACCAGATGGGGGATGGTAGGACATACTTGTAATCTCAGCTACTCAGGAAGGTGAGGAAGTAGGGTTGCAAATTCAAATCTAGCCTAGGCAATTTAGGGAGACCCAGTCTTAAAAATGAAAAAATCGATGTGGGGATGTAGCTCCATATGAAGGCCCTGGGTTCAATCCCCAGTACCACCACACAAAATAATAATAAAATAAAAAATTACTTCTATAAAAATAATCTCAAAAAGTCACTTTCTACCTCCTAATCTTTTTTTTTTTTTTTTTTTTGGTACCAAGGATCAAACTTACAACCTTGCACTTGCCAGACAGGTACTTATGCCACTAAGCTAAACCCCCCAGCCCTAATTTTTTTTTTTTAAATCAAGGTCTTATTGTGTAGTTTGGCCTGGGCCTTCAACTGCCTATGTAGCCCAAAACAGCCTCAAACTTGAAGTAATTCTCCTGCCTCAGCCTCCAAATTCTGGGATTACAGGTATGCGTCACCACACCTGACCAAATCTACCCCTAAAACCTTTGCTAGATGTGGTGGTGCAAATCTGTAATCCCAGCACTTTGGAGAGCAAGGCAGGAGGATTGCAGAAAGAGAAATATTTTGGACTAGGGATAAAGTTTAGTAGTAAAGAGTTTCCCCGTGGCTGAGCCTGATGGCCCATGCCTATAACCCCAGAATTTGAGAGGCTGAGTCAGGAAGATCACCATGAGTTTGAGGCTAACCTGCACTACATAGTGAGATCCTGCTTCAAAAAGTAAAAAAACCTTGCCTGCCATGCACAAGGTCCTGGATTTAATCTCTAACATTCTGAAAAAGAAAGACATATTTAGCAAGTCAGTCCACAAAATCTGTATAATTTCAGGACCAAGATATTTATTTATTAAATATTTGCTCTTGGAGCTAGGAGTATAGCTCAGTGACAAAGCAAGTGATTAACTTATGAGAGAAATACACAGATAAATAAATTGTTCATTAAGGGCCAGGAATTTAGCTCAGCGGCACAAGTGCCTGTTTGGCAAGCATGAGGTTGTGAGTTCAATCCCTGGTATCAAAAAATAAATAAATGAATAAATAAATAAAAATAAATTGTTCATTAAATATAAATCACTTTTTGCAACAAGGCATAAGGAGTTGCTTTAAAAAGATTATTAAAAAGATTATTGATATATAAAGATTACAAATATAGGATCATGCTAGGTGTGGTGGCATGTACCTATAATCCCAGCACCTAGGAAACTGAGGCAGGAGGATTCTTGTGAGTTTGAGGCCAGTCTGGGCTACATAGTCAGTTCAAGAACTGTTGGAAATACATAGACCTATCTAAAAAGAAACAAAATTAAAGGAAGTAAACTATTCTAATGTTGGGCAGATGGAGTTTACAGTAATATTTCTAGTGACAACAAGATACATTGCTATGTCTCAAACAGCCAAGACAAAATAAAAATAAATATTCTCAGAAAGCTGTTTTAAGTATCTCTGTGAAAAACCATTTTTACTGTGTTTGCATGGAAGTCATGTTGTGTGTCCCCTCTGATGGACATCTATAGGGAGAGCTGCAAAGCTTCTTGGCTTTTCCCTAGTTAAGCGTTGACCTCCAAGATGATGTATCTATTGTCTATGTGTAATAAGCACTATGAAAATTTAGCAGCTTAAAACAACAATGTATTCTATTGCAGGAATCTAGGGGCTGAGTTTGTCTCTGTCTCTGCTGCTCTTGGACTCCCTCATGTGGCTTCAGGTAGCTTTAAACTCCACTGGGAAAGGAAGGCCTCACTCTGGAGTCCTGGATCTGGTTCTGGGCTAGGCTGTGTGTCTTTCTCTGTGTCTCTCCTCGCTTAGCCATCCAGCTTGAGCTTCTGTACGTGGAGACACAAGCATCTACAAGGGCAAAGGTTCTGGAACTGGCAGGGCATTTATGGCCTACAACAGTAATGCCTGTACTCAGGAGGTGGAGACAGGAAGATCTCCAGAATTCAAGGCCATACCAGAGAGACACACTATCTCTAACAAAAAAAGAAGGAAAAAGAAAAGATCAGAATGGACCCAACAACATGGTGACGTCTGCCACCCATTTTCAGTCTGAGCAAGTCACAGTGTCAGCCCAGATTCAAGGCACAGGAAATAGAATCTATTTCTTGAAAAGAAGAATTGCAAAATATTGTGGCTATTGTTTATCCTACCACAGAGTATCTCCATTGACTGAAGTCCAAGCTGGAGTTCTCCATTTACCCAGTCCTCCAGGTTTCCACAGCTATAGAAGAGCCCTACAACTCCATCCCTACCATCCACACCACCCTGGAGCACTCTGTGCCTTCATGGTAGGCAACAAGGCCATCTGTGACATCTGTCGTAGAAACCTCAATATTGAGCACCCCACCTACACTAACCTGATCTTGATGATACTCAATTTGTTTAGTCACTTGAATGTTGAGAACCTATTTGGGAGCCGGGTATGGTGGTACACTCTTATAATCCCAACACTTGGGGGGCTGAGGCAGGAGGACTGTTGCAAGTTCAAAACCAACCTGGGCTACAAAGTGAGCTCAAGACCAGCCTGAACTGCATAGTGAGACCTTGTCTCAAAAGTTAAAAAAGAAATATATATATATATATATATATATATATATATCTGCAGTAACAGAAACACCCAGTTATATACCTTTAAAAATAATCATTTATTTTTCTCATGTAATAAATCTGGAATAAACAACATTAGTTCAGTTTCTCCAAATGTAATTACAGTTCCCTCTGAATTTGTTTGTCTGAAACAGTGTCTCACCATGTAGCCTAGGCTGGCCTTGAACTCAGTGATTCTCCTGCCTTAGCCTCCAGAGTACAGCATTACAGACATGCACCATCATGCCTGACATAAAAATAAAAATTTTTTAAGGCTGAGAATATAGATCTGTGTAAAGCCCTTGTATTCAATCCCCAGTGCAAATAAATAAATAATGGAAGTGGTCCAAAAATCAGTCAACCACCTGAGTGGTGAGAAATTATGGACATAGTCATGAAACAAGTACAACACTTGGGGAACATTGGAATAAACAGTAGGATCTTTGCTCTTTCTTCTGGAGGGAGAATAGTACCATGAGATAACTGTGCTCTATAAAGATTCCCCAGTGGTCCTATGCAGACCTGGTGGCCTTACAGAAAAGGAGATCTCCAGCAGAGGACTTGGGGCTAAGTGCAGGAAGCCCTAAGAGAAAGCCAGTGACCAAGGGAAGATGATGGCTGGTCTAGGGTAGAATTCAGACAAAGGGTATTCTGAATAAGAGTTAGGAATATTGAGCCAGGGATGATGGTAGATGCCTGTAGTTCCAGCCAGTCGAGAAGCTGAGGTGGGAAGGTCTCTTGAGCTCAAGAGTTTGGGAGGCCAGTCTGGGAAATATGTTAAAGAGTTTGTAAAAAATAAAATAAGGGGGCTGGGGGATTAGCTCAGCAGCATAAGCGCCTGCTTTGCAAGCAGGCAGTCGTGAGTTCGATCCCTGGTACCGATAAAAATGAAAAAGACCAAAACAAGAATAAATAAATAAATTAATTAATTAAATAGGGCTGGGGATTTAGCTCAGCGGCATAGGCACCTGCCTGGTAAGTGCGAGGTCATGAGTTCGATCCACGGTACCGCAAAAAAAAAAAAAAGAAAAGAAAAGAAAATTTTAAAAAGCTGTAGTCCCTCTGCCCTATAATCTCAGCATGCAGGAGGCTGAGACAGGAGGTTTACCTGAGCCCAGGGATTACAGGCCAGCCTGGGCAACATGTTGAAACCTCATATCAACAACAAAATAAAGCCATGCATGGTGGCACATGCCTGTAATACCAGCCACAGGAAGCTGGGCTATTTAGCAAGTTCAAGGCCAGCCTGAACTACCTAACAAGTTTCAGTCTCAAAAAACCAAAACAAACTTTTTAAATAAAAAACATCAAAAGAGGCCAGTATGGTGGCACACACCTGTAATCCCAGCACTTGGGAGGCTGAGGCAAGAAGAGCACTAAGAGTTTGAGGCCAGCCTGGGCTACAAAGTGAGCTCAAGGCCAGCCTGAACTGCATAATGAAATCCTGTGTTAAAAAGATAAGGAGAGGGGCTGGAGATTTAGCTCAGCGGCATAAGCGCCTACCTTACAAGCAGGCAGTCGTGAGTTCGATCCCTGGTACCAATAAAAAGGAAAAAGACAAAAAAAAAAAAAAAAAAAAAAGACAAGGAGAAGGGGCTGGGGATTTAGCTCAGCGGCATAAGCGCCTGCCTTGCAAGCAGGCAGTTGTGAGTTCGATCCCCAATACCGATAAAAAGGAAAAACACACACACACACAAAAATTGGTTTCTCAGGAGAAGAAGTCCAAAATGATCAGAATCTTTAGCTTGATACAAAGCCTCTTAGTATTTACAGGGTTTAATAAAGATCTGTTGTAGAGTAGGAGTCAAGCCTCTGAGGCTAAGAAGAACCTCCCTGTCCCTTTGTGTTACTTTGCCTTGTTGAAATCTCAAAAAAGACTCTTTTCCACCTCTTGGAAGCACCTCAGGGTGGCCTCTGGCAACTTGTACAAAGTAACTTCCTCAAGGTCACACAGCTGGTAAATGAAATGTAGAGACTATACAGCCCTATTGTTTTTAACTGTAAGATCTAGGTTCAGTGAAAAGCAAGGGGTTTAAAAGTGACAGCCACTGGTGTGATGCTTGATCTTCCCCAATACACTCCCAAGAATCTGTAGGCTTTGGTATAGAGTCCTTCAAGGATAAAGAAATCTACCTCTTCCTTGTCCCACCAGAGAAAAGCCGTTTATCTTTAGGAAATTCTAACAGTACAATTCAGACAATTCAAAGAATAGTTTGCCCCCATCGGTTTACAGAAGGATTGAGAGAGCTAGTAGAGGCCTCTCTTGACTTCCTAAGAAAGAGCTCACATGCCTCAGGCCAGCCGTGTCCAGGAGAAGGTGGGTAACAGTAGGCTACAGCTTACTTACAGAAGAGATCTGTGGTATTTATTCTTGAAGATTCTGCAAGATACTATAGACTGGCCAAAGAATGAAGACGGGATATGTGTGGGAGAAATGGAATTAAACCCATCTCAAACGCTGTGTGGAATCCCAGCTGCTGCAGCTGCTGAGGGCTTAACCAGCTGTTCCCTGGGCAGCTGCAACGTTCAGTGCAGGCCTACTCTCTTCTCAGGTGGCAGAGCCATCTCAGCTTGTGACCATCAGCTTTAAGCTAAGCCAAAGCTCTGCTCAAAGGATCATTAGAAAGCAAAAGAGAATAGCAGAGAGAGAGTCCTCAAGTCCAAGAGTTCTGTTTAATGTTATGTGCTTTGAAATTTGACAACTTCTTAGGTTATTGGTTACAAGGAAAGAAGTTGAGAAAGTTTGGATTTAGGTTTCTTCATTTGCTTGCTTGCTTATGGCTTGTTTTTGTGGGATTGAACTCAAAACCTCATACTGAGTTATATCCCCAGCCCTTTTTTATTTTGAAACAGTTTACTCATTAAATTTCCCAGGACAGACTTGTCTCAGCTTTCTGAGTGGATGGGATTACAGTCCTCAGCCACTCTACCCATCCTGGGTTTAGATTTCTGAGAAAAACCAAACCAGGCTGGGCGTGGTGAGGCTGAGACAGGAAGATCGCTGCAAGTTTGAGGCCAACCTGAACTACATAACAAGTTCACTATGTAGCCAGCCTGGACTATATAGTAAAAGCCTATCTCAACAAACCAAATTAATAATAATAATACTAGAAAACTCAACTCACCATTGGAAGTATCAGCTTTAATTCTGCTCCTATACTAACCTGCTCCAATTTTCCTATGCTGTCCACCATCTGCTCCTGTAAAGCAATCAAGTGGAAGTGGAAGCACTTCCTACTTGTGACTGAAACTAAAGTAGAGAAAGAAAGAAACTAAACCAGAGATACTCATGTGCTCAGGAGAGAACTAATCTACCTGGGCATAAAGACTATCCAAAGAGCCCCATCCAATTGCTAGTTTCCTTGTTTATTTGGAGACAAAATCTTACTGTGTAGTTCAGGCCAGCCTTGAACTCATGATCCTCCTGCCTCAGCCTCCCAAGTGCCAGAATTATAGGCATGTGCCACCATACTGAGTTGCCAGTTTCCTTTTCAAAATGCAAATTTAATTGTTCCCTTCTGCAGGATTATCCTTGTTTCAAACTCAATGATTGCTTTTAATTTTTCTTTCTCTTTTGGTTTTTGAGACAAGGTATCACTATGTAGCTCAGACTGACCTCGAACTCACTGCCTTAGCCTCCCAAATCCTAGGATTACAGGCATGCACTACCATGCCTAGCTCAACAATTGTTTTTCATCTTTAGACAAAATTCAAAATCTCTCCTTCTAGCTATACTGAACCTGCTGATGCTTTTCAGCTTCATCTCACTCATGCTTTCAACTCCAGGGCTTCACACAAGCTTTTCCATCTGCTTAGACTACCCTCCAATGACTTGTCGTCATTTTGTTAAATGAACTGTAATTATGGTTGTACTTACTATCCTGTCCTTAACATGCAGCAGAATGCACAGCAGATAGTAGGCATTCAGTAAATCCTATTGGGTCAAAGACAGCCCTCCATAGATAAATAAAGCTCATCTGTGCACATCAGCAAGGTCACATGCAGAGACAATAACAGGAAGAGGAGTTTGAATGTGCTATTTGGCCACAAAAATGACCCGCAGGGAAAAGGATCCTGACTGACAATATGTTCCTTTTCCATAGATAACTGCCTCGGTTTCCCAGCCTGAGAAGAAAGCTTCTGATATAGCACAGCCAGAAAAACAGTCAGGCATAAATGTGTCGTTTCTAGCTCAGAAATACATATTTTTTCCAAGGACAGTGATTATTTTCAACACTTAGCACATAAAACTGAGTTCAGCAGGCCCATCTCTTACATTTCTACTGTAAATCTGTACTTTAGCATTATGGTAGCCAGCAGTCCATCTCAGTACTTTCCCTGAGGAATACATGAAGCAATCTATATGTTTATGTACTTGGTATGACTAATGCCAAGGAGTATGCATATGTGCAAAAGTGTCAAAATGGGATTTGGACTTACTTTTATGCTCCATTTAACGAGTTTTACATATGTTTACCTGAGCATTACAGAGGGTCCAATAGACCCACATCACTCCAGGATTTGTTTTTTTAAAGTTTTCTTTTGATTTTTTTTTTCTGGTTGAAGTAGCACAATTCAGTACCATGGCACATGAAAAACCAGATTTGCAAGCTTTGGAGGAGATGAAAGTGAATCATCCGGTTACTTGTGCATGGCTGATGAAGATGACCCATTATGGTAAAATACATGTTTTTGTAACAGAAGAATAGTGTGGGTGGATGATGATGATGGTGATGGTGACGACTTTGACACTGGTTGTGTGAGCCAAAGTTCCTGTGACAGTGAAATGAAGCAAGAATCCACTAATACAGACACAGGGGATGCAGACCTCTTTGATTCAGATGACAAAGAAACACAATGTGACTAGTTGAAATGTTACAAAATGACCAGCAACCAAATGGAACAATCCAATGTTAGAAATATATCCAAAAATATAGTGAAGGTCTTGGCAGGGGTGAGACACATTGGGAAGAATGCCAGCACTGCCATTCGGTGTTGGAAATTGTAAGATACAAAATGGTACAAGAAGCTGTGAAATATACAAAGACTGAAATGTAAGTTAAAAGTTATGTATGCATCAATAGCCATATTCAAAACTATATGTATTAGACACCTCACTAGCTAAACTGAAAGCATTCATGGGTCTGCTGTACTTATCATGGATTTCTTATAGTGATCACAGGAATGTAAAAGACTTATGGAAAAGAGATGGCTCAAAATAAGTCATAAATGTTATGCCTTGGTACATGCAAAGATTTATTATTCTTTCAATTTAGAAATTTACCTTGGAACTTAGCCATTAGGTCTTTATTCATGCAGTAATAAAATGAATGATGTTGTGAACAGACTTGTTCCCATCTCCCAAACAAAGCAGACTGTGACATTGGACAATTAGTTTACCAGTTTCCAATAGATGTTACATTTGCTAACAGAGCATAAGTTGACTAGTGCAGGAGCTATACATAGAAATAAAGCAGAAATTGCAAATGAAATGTTTCAATTTCAAAACAGGAAATTATATAGCGCAATCTTTGTATTTCGGAAAGATATAACATTGGCCTTACATATGTCAAAGAAAAGCCCTCTGGTACTACTCATGTCAACATTGCACCATGATGAAAATATTGATAGGGAAACCTCGACAAATAGAAGCCTGAAGTGGAAACTTTCAAAAACAAAACAAAGGTAGAGTAGCTGTTTTTCATGAGTTACGCAGCAACTATGATGTCACTTGAAACACAAAGCATTTGCCAATGGTTGTGTTTTACTTAGTCCTAAATATGTGTGGCATAGTTTGACAGTTTACAAAGAAAATAACAAGTGCAAAATATCATGGAGAAATTCTGTTAGAGGATTGGGACTGGAGCTCAAAAGAGATCATTTATAGGACCAGGGATATATCTCAGTAGCACAGCACCTGCGTGGCAAGTGTGAGGTTGTGTTTAATCCCCAGTACCAAACAAACAAACAAATAAAATTAAATAAATAAAAAGAAATCATTTATAGCAGAAGAAAAACAAAATTTTTCTGCACAGGGAACTAAACAAAAAAATTGTGAAGCAGCACAGCATCACAAACACCTTCTATGACAACATGAAAACAAAAAAGATGTTGACTGTGGCCTACAAGAAAGTACAGAAAAACAAAATATATATACTATAAATGTAAGCAATGAAAATGGAAGCTTATGGAACAAACATTTGTCATGTGTGAAGACTGCCTTGGATGTGATGGTTGAAGCAAAGGTTATTTTTGGAGTAGGGTGCTATTGGTATTTTCATTGTAATTTACATAGAAATTTATTTCTGATGTTATTTTTTGTCATCACAAATAGGATTTTTGTCGGTGTCGCTCCCGGCCGGCAGGAAGAACACACGACAAGATCTGGCAGTGGCTGGGCTTTCTTTATTTTCCCTCTCCGTACAGTCTGCCCCGGGATTCTTCCCGGCCGAAGCCTCTACCGGTCCGCTCTCCGCGGCTCCTTCAGTGCTTCTTTCTCTACAGTCTGTCCCGAAGCCTCTACCAGTCCGCTCTCCGCGGCTCCTTCCGTGCTTCTTCTCTACAGTCTGTCCCGAAGCCTCTACCGGTCCGCTCTCCGCGGCTCCTTCCGTGCTTCTTCTCTCGTGGCGGGAGAGGCACTCACTTTTATAGGGTAACAGTGGCCAATCAGTTCAAAGCGTGCGATGCGGGCTGATTGGCTAACATCAGTTGTTGCTAGGCAGATTATCTTACAGGGCGGGTTGTTTACCAAGCAGGAAGCAGGAGATAAGCGCCATCTTAGCACACTCGATGGGAGGGGTAATCTAGCTCAGGCTTTGCTCTTTCTTACAGGCCTCACGTCCGCCAAGTAAGGCGACCAGGCTCGGCCGTGGCTCCCAACAGATTTTATTTATCATTATTAAAAATACGGATCATTAAAGACTCTTGGACTGGTGGTTCATATCCATTAGCTCGTTCAACTTTAGCTCATCTCATTCCCAGGAGCTTTCCCAGGGCTACCACCTTTACCATGAAGCTCCGTGAGTTTTCTCAACTCAAACTTGGGCTTCGTCAGCATTTTTACTTTTCTGATGAAGACATTCTGAGGTTTTCTTTTTTAGGTTTTGTAAGCAAGTATACAACTGATGTGAACATGTTGGTGTCTATTCTAAGTACTTAATACATATTAAGAATGTAATAATTTATCTTTTGATGTTTCATGTTCCCATTAACTACACACTATATAATAAAATAAGAACCTTCTGACACAATAGCAAGACCACTAAGATATCAAGTACCACTAAGATACCAAGCAAGCGAAAAATATGTGCTATCAGAGTAAGTGATGCGTATCTATGGAACATGCTATTATCACATTTGCAGACTGCCTCAGGTGTGATAACTGAAGTAGAGTTTTTTTATCATGCAATTGGTATTTTTCATTGCAGTTAATAAAGGAATCTATTTCTGACATTCTTTTTTAGATGTTATACACAAAAGCCAGTCTATCTTAAAATTTTTGATTTTTTACATTCAATAAATATTAAAACAATATTTTTTCCTTTTAAGTATTCATTGTTTTATATAATGAAACACAAAATTAAAATTAATAATTTATCAACAGAAATATTCTAAAGAAGAAAGGTGGGTCTGATAGATTCCTGTATCTGTGCCTTGATGACAAAATTAGTCTTATGCTCCTTAAGTAACGACCTTGTTTTATCACTAGCCTTTTTCTCCTATAAAGATTTCTGGAGCCAGACAGGGGCCCACAAGTGCTCTGGGAGGGTAAAGCAGGAAGCTCTTATGCTGGAGCTCAGCCTGGACAATTTAAGGACTTAAGGAGACTCTGGATCAAAATAAAAATAGAAAAGGACTGGGGAAGTAACTCACTTTGAAGGCCCAGGGTTGAGTTACTAGTACTAAAAAAAAAAAAACTAAAACATTTTTTCTGAAAGTTTGTATTGATCTTCCAGGGCTACCATAACAAAATATATCTGTGGCCATACCACCCTGAATATGCCTGATCTGATCTGATCTCAAAAGCTAAGCAGGGGGGCTGGGGAATTAGCTCAGCGGCAAAAGCGCCTGCCTTGCAAGCAGGCAGTCGTGAGTTCGATCCCTGGTACCGATAAAAAGGAAAAAGACAAAAAAAAAAAAAAAAAAGCTAAGCAGGGTAGGGCCTGGTTAGTAATGGATGAGTGATCACTTAAGAATACAGGGTATATAGGCTTTTAGTGGGCTCCCTCCTTTTCTCCTGGAGAGAGTGGTGGCACACACATTCAGGAGGCTGAAGTAGGAAGATTGTTGTGATTTTAAAGTCAACATGGGCTACATAGTGAGTTCGAGTCCAGCCTGAACTATATAGTGGGACCCTGTCTCAAAAAACAAAGGCTGGGCACTTATAAAAGAGGAGACTATAAGTCATTCAAATAATATCTATTTTTATATGTGTGGCTAGAATAAAATTACTGTTTGTCAACAAAAATTACTGTTTGCTGGGGATTTAGCTCAGTGGCATAAGTGCCTGCCTGGCAAGCATAAGAAGCATGAGGTTTCAAGTTTGATCCCCAGTACCAAAAAAAAAAAAAAAAAATCACTGTTTGTTCATGCTCTAAAAAAAATTTTTTTTTGTTTTTTGTCTTTTTCCTTTTTATTGGTACCGGGGATTGAACTCACGACTGCCTGCTTTCAAGGCAGGCGCTTATGCCGCTGAGCTAAATCCCCAGCCCCCTAAAATGTATTTTTTTTTAAAAAGCTGGGAATATAGTTCAGTGTAGAGGACCTGGATTCAACCCCCAATTAAAAAAGGAGGGGAGCAGGGATATAGCTCAATGGCACAAGCACCAGCCTGACAAGCATGAGGTCATGAGTTCAATCCCAGGAACCCGACCTAAAAAAAAAATAAAAAATAACTTAAAAATAGTAATAATAGGGGCTGGGGATTTAGCTCAGTGGCATAAGTGCCTGCCTGGCAAGCACGAGGTCATGAGTTCAATCCCCAGTCCTGCAAAAAAAAATAATAATAATAGTAAAAACTAGAAGGAATTTATGGTGATTCAATGAAGGGAATGTGCAAGAATAATTAGCTTGCTGGATGTACTGGCACATGCCTATAATCCCAGCACTTGGGAGCACCTTACTAGCTTCTTTTTTTTCAGTTTTTTTTTTTTTTTTTTGTCTTTTTCCTTTTTATCAGTACCGGGGATCGAACTCACAACTGCCTGCTTGCCAGGCAGGCACTTATGCCGCTGAGCTAAATCCCCAACCTTTTTTTTTTTTTAAAAGAGAATAAAACCAATCAAAACAAAACAATGAAAAAGAACTTTGAAACAAAATAATAGGAAATCAATAATGGCTACCATATCTTGTTATCTTTGAAATAGTTGCCCATGCCATCAGATAAAATAAAACCAAGCAAAATGAAACAGAATAAAACCAAACAAAACAAAATGATCAAAATGATACGGATGTTAAAACAAGATGATAGAGAATTAATGGCTTTCACCTTCAGAAGATCTCTCATAATTGCTATGTTGTTATTCTCCAAATAGATGCCTGATTTTAGGCCTGCAAAGTCAATCAAACACTAAACACTTCAAGCATTAAGCTGTTTTTGTGTTTTATTTTTTATTTTAGTAGGTGTCATCTCAACCTGTTTGTCCAGATCAGCCAGTTGCTTATGGAGAGGGGGGTTTCTCTTGTCTCCTAATGTGCAAGCAGTCTGGCTCACATGAAAGAGCTGGCTTCCTGTTTCTCCTCCTAGCAGCCCACATGGCTGCTGTTGCTTCACAAGAACCGCCTGGCTTCTTGTTTCTTTTCCCAGCAGCCCACATGTTTACTAGTTTCTTAGTATACATAGGTCTTTTTTTTTTTCCTTTTTCCTTTTTATCGGTACCAGGAATCGAACCCACAACTGCCTGCTTGCAAGGCAGGCGCTTATGCCGCTGAGCTAAATCCCCAGTCCCCTATACATAGGTCTTGCCAAAGTCTTCACAAAATGCTTCATAAATTTTTAAAACAAGATTAATTATAGTTTAGAGTTTACCTTTTTTCTTTTTTTTTTTTTTTAGACAGGGTCTCACTATGCAGTTCAGGCTGGCCTTGAGCCTACTTTGTAGCTCAGGCTGATCTTGAACTTGCAACGATCCTCTTACCTCTGCCTCCCAAGTGCTAGGATTACAAATGTGCACCGCCACACGCTGTGTATAGTTTAGCTCTAAAACTCAAATCTATCATACAGCACTTTCTACAGAAAAGTGTTAATGTTATAAAATCAAGCAATTGTAGGTGTCACTCAACCCCTACACATTAGCATTAATAATGCTTTTACTGGAGTGTTGGGGAGAGAAGCTAAGAAGCAAAAGGGAAAAAAAGTAGCGAGAAATGGATGCAAAGAATAGAAACCAGTTGTGAATGCCCATTCCACATCAGGAACTATCTTTATCAGCAATCCTGTCAGGAAAGTGGCATTATCCCTAGGCCTATCTGACTCCCAAACCTTGTTAATCAAAAAAGGTGTTGTATTGCCAAGTATTTCCACCGGCTTCATGGAAATGGTGTTTTCCTGCATGGGGTCATGGATTTTGTGTGTGTTACTGCAGAGTGAACTCAGGTCCTCATGCATATTAAGCAAACACTCTACAACTAAGTATCCCTAGCTTTTTTTTTTTTTTTCCACTTTGAGACAAAATCTCACTAAGATGCCCAGGTTGGCCTTCAATTTGTGCTCTTCCTGCCTCTGCCTTCCAAGTAGCTGGGATTATAGGAATGTGTCAGATACATGGCTTTCTTCCCGAAGACCTGGGAGAGAGCCTGAAGGGAACAAGAATAAGAAATAGAAGTAGGGAGTGAGAGATAAACCTCAGGCATGGGAACAAACCTACAGCATGTAATTTAAAGCCTACCAACAATTTTTCCTTTCCCTCTGTCATGGCTTGTGTCTAGATGTACCCCCAAAGCCTCAGACTGTCATAGGTGGGCTTTTCAGAGGTGACTGGATCTAGAGTGTATGACACTGTATTAAGTATGTGATGCTGGGATTCAGTGTGTGATGCTGGAATTAAGATTGTATAAGTATTACATTAGTCCACTGATTGGTGGACTACCACTGGGTGTGGACAATGGGAAGACTCACCCCTACTATGGGTGGCTCCATCCAAAAGGCCAGATAGCCTGGGAGGATATAAAGGGGCAGAAAGAACACGGGCCTACTGCTGCTTCTGCTGTCCCTGCTTTCTGCTTGCTGCCTGCCATGCTTTGCCATGGTTGTTTCTCCTCCTCGTTGCCCCTCTGCAAAGTTACCCTGTCTTGGAGCTAGCCAGCCATGAATTGAAACCTCTACAAACTATGAACCCAAAATACACATTTCCTTCTTTAACTTAGGGTGTTGGGTATTTTGTCTCACCAAAGAGAAAAGCAACTAAGACACCCCAAAATGTCTCCTTGTGTAAGTTACTAAGATGTTGCAAATCATCACCATTATGGTTTTATAATCCAGGGCTTGTTTTTGTTTTGTCTTTTTCCTTTTTATCAGTACTGGGGATCGAACTCGCGACTGCCTGCTTGCAAGGCAGGCACTTACGCTGAGCTAAACCTCCAGCCCCAAGGCCTTGTTTTTAACTGGCTTTTAGGTTATATGCATTACTTGAGAAGGGTATTAAAAATCAGGAGCCTGTCAACACAGAAAGACTAATTAGCTTGTCAGATCAGTCTTGTCTGGGTGATAGGTCAAAGAGCACCAGGATTTAACAGACAAAGGGGGAGACTTAGAAAGAAAAGCAAGAAAGGTCCACAGTTTGGAGTGCATTTACAAGAACAGTGAAAGAGAGGACAGTGACAGGCACAGGTGTAAATTGAGAGCATAAGGGGAATGGAAGGGCACTAAATATAAATTTAGACCACTTCTAAATTCTGTCTTTATCAAGCATTCTCTGGAACTCAGTTTGCTCTCACTTCCTTAATTACTAAACTCCAGGCTCACAGCCAGGCACACCTGTAATTCCAGTACTCAGGAAGCTGAGGCCAGAGATCACCAGAGAGTTTAAGACTCGCCTGGGCTATGTAGTGAGATCCTGTCTCAAAAACAAAACAAAACAAACCCTCAAGGACACGGGGGTGAGCAGCACGAGGGGGGAATTCAGTATGTAAGAAAGTCTAGGTTACTGCAAGTATACTACCGTGCTACACCTCCAGCTTCTAGGAGCCACAGAGCTCACCTAGCAAGAGGGATACAAGTGTCAGAGTTTGGAACAGCTTTCGAAACAGGAGCAAGAGGTCTCCTTGCCAGCTGCTGACACCTGTGGCTCACCTCGGGCGGTCTAACAAGCCCCACCCACCACCTCTGACTCCTGGAAGGCTCCTCTGCGCAGGCCCAGTACATCCAGCTTGTGATAAGCATAAACCTAGAATTCTTCGGGATGGACACAAGGGGGCGATGTATAGCAGGGACTCTGAGGTTTCAGATGCTCGGATTAGGTAGAACCAATCTAGTCAACTGCATAGCTGGCAGGGTCTGTTCCCTAGGACTTAATCACTAGGACTTAATGACTGTCTCTTAGACCCCCGGACATTCCCCTTCCAGAGCAAGCCAATTTCCCCAGAGCTTCTGTTTCTAACTCAAGGGCACCTGCCTGGTTGGGTTCCAGGTGTCTGTTGGAACCCAAATCTTCCCAAATACCCAGGTCAGGGAAGTAGAACCAGAAATAATGGGAGAGAGAGAAAGAGAGAGAGAGAGGAGAGAAGACAGAAGCGGAGAGAAGAGAGGAGAGAAGAGAAAAGAGAAAGAAGAGAGAAGAGAGAAGAGAGAGAGAGAAGAGAGAAGAGAGAAGAGAGCGCAATGGAGGAAGCCAGTAGAAACAACAACCAGGGCTGGCGATCAGGAAAGGAGGTCAGGTTTAATACTTATGTTCCCCTTGCCTGTGAAGTTTGTTTTCCCAATGTACAGCCAGTTGTTCCCTGCAGCCCTTCAGTAAGGAAAGGCTTCAGCCCTGTTTTTTTAAGGCCAGGAGTGTGTGTCCATTCCTAGTTATTACTCATAAATTCCCAGGGATCGTCAGTTGGCCCAGACATCCCGGAATAAAAATCATTTGGACCACATTAGGATAGGATGAGGAAAGGGCCAGGTTGCTAACAATAGAGGACCGACGTGTTTTAAGTGTCATTACGTATGGGGCCTGAGTCCCTGCTAGACCCCTGTGGACAGAGAAAGGATGTGCAAGTGCCTTTCCGCTCTGGACAACTCTGCCCCTCCGGAGGTCGGTATGCAGCCTCAGGGGAAGAACACTGTTCTTCTGCTGGCAGGAAGATGGGAACAGCAGCGTAAACTGGAGCAAAACACTTTTGGTCTCTGTTGTGATGGATTGGGACACCCTTCAGCGGAGAAGAAAAGGGTCCCAAAGACCCTGCTGAGGAAAGAGGAGGAGCCGGAAGTAAAGTGTTGACTCGGATTAGTCTCTGAGGCGAATCACCCTCTGAATGGAAGTGATTTCCAATAAGCTCCTGGAATCCTTCCCTTTATTAGCCCACCTCAGAAAAACATGAGACATCAGATTGGCTAACTATCAGACACTGTTAACGCCGTGCCCCGCACCCTCACCTTGGCTGCTGGGCAACCAGCTCATTATATTACAATTTATAAATAGAAAATAAAATAAAACTATCAAGTGGGGCTCACGCTCAGAGGAAGAAAAGGCTAAACGGTCCTAGTTACGGAGTGCCCACCATCAACTCCATCTACCAAGGCGCAGGAGCTGCTTCCGTTCGGTAGAAAGTTGTCCCAAACCAGGCAGTTTCCTAACAGCCCCCTTCCTCCCTTTCCCCTCCCACCCTCCCAATCAGCTTCGCCTGTTTCCTGCAATTGCAGATCTCAGCCAGCAGGACCCGTTTTTGTCGAGCGCCCCAAGGTCGCTATGCCTGGGGCGCTCAGCCCAGTAGCTCCTCCGCCAGGCGGTAGAGGAGGCGAGAGTACCAGTGCATGCCAGTCGGCTGGACCGAGCCCCCAGGCAACAGCGCCCCCAGCGCGTGCAGCAGGCGCAAAGGAGCAAAGGCGCGGTGCGCCCACTGGTGACTCTCTAGGACCGCGTAGCAAGAGGCCAGAACGTCGTTGACCAGCAGGGTCCCGTGAGCCGTAAGGGGCGCGAACACACCCACTGCTTCCTCCCGCGCCACACGGGCCACTCGCGCTGGCCGAAGCGCGCCCCCGCCGGGCGCCAGCACAGAGTCCCCCGCGCGTAACCGGCGCGCGAACACTGGTGCAAAGTCGCCTGGCTCTGGCGCTGGCCCTCGAGCGGCAAACACTAGGTGCCAGGGCGTGAGCAACAGTTTGCGCGGAGGCCGCTCGGTCTCCACAGCTACGAATGAGGCCCGACGCTGCAGGTCTCGGTCCAGGAAGAGCAGCACTGGCGTGGGCACCACGCGACCAGCCGCATCTGCGGCCAGGACCCAGTCCCCGCGGTGCAGTTCCCGCAGCCCCTTCCGCTCGCCGCTCCGCAGGCGCACAGTGGCGTTTCCCGGAAAGCAGCCTCCCGCGCGGACCGCCAGAGAGTTATCTGCAGGGAGTAAGCACAGAGAGAGGATTGAATCTGGAGTCGTGGTTCCAGGACGCTAGTACAGATTCTCAAAGATATGGGTCAAGCCCAACGCAGATCTCGCCAGTCTTGGGCAGTGCAATTTCCCACGGGTCTGGCCCCAACCTGGGCAGAAATGGAAGGGTGGTTTACGATGCTAACGCACACTTAGTCTTTCCCGGAGGAAACCCCCTTGGAGGGCGGACCTCAAGCCCGGTCCCCGCCCGTACCAGCTTTGACTGACACGTGGACATGGTTCCGGGACTCGTAGTAGACCCAGTCGAAGCCGGCTTCCACTGCCAGGCGCGCCAGCAGCCCATACTTATTGCGATCGCGATCAGACGTGGTGATGTCCAAAGCACGACCTTCGTAGTGCAGTGAGTCCTGAGCGTGGTGGCCGTCCTCATCCCAGCCTTCGGTCACCCGGAGGCGCACTCCGGGCCACATGTTCATCACTGCAATAGCCAGTGCGTTCACCCGCTCCTTACAACGCTGGCGGGAATGAAAGAGTCGGTTTCTCCCTTATCACTGCCATCACCATGGGGGCAAGAGTGACCTCAGTCAGAGCCTCCATTCTTCCTTGTTCTCTGGGTCCACCCCACTCCCCCCCCCCCACACACACACTTCTGAGGGTCCAAGGGAATCAAGACTCTAAAGAGGTGTAGATGCCAATCTGCACTCTTGTTTTCAGGGCATCGTTGGAAAATTGTGGGGTCATTTCTGAGGTTAAGAGGGGCCTCCCACCTAGCTTTCTCTCCCCATTTTCGATACTGAGCCCCTCACCATTACTTGTTCTCTGGAACCTCGGCCCAACATGAGAGAAGGCCAGTTGGTAGCTTGGTTAGGGAGGGCCTGGCTCCCAGAGAGGAGCCCCTGTTTGAGCCTGGCCCCCCGCTTGGTGCCCTGGCTACCCTCCCTCAGCCTGATTCATCTTTTGTTTCGTCGCCTTCTCTGGCACTGGGCATTGCTTCCTTCCTTCCTTCCTTCCTTCCTTCCTCCTCCTCCTCCTTTTGGCCCCTAGCATTAACCCTTTTGTGGCCTGGGTGCCACTCATAGAGGTGCCCAAGAGAAGCTTTGCAGGATCGAGGCTGTTGGAAAAAGGGTTGGATGGCGGGGGCTGCACGAAGCACAATAGCCATTCTCCGGGATGACTTAACTGAGCGAGAATCCCGGGCCGAGGCCGGGAACGCGCCGGGAGAAGCGGACTCAGCAGCTCCAGCCACAAAGGCGCTTTTCAGCCACCCCAGCTCAGGGAGAGGAAAGGGCAGAAAGCCGCGCCCCCCATCCCTGCTCCGGCCCGCCAGGTCCCCTCCCCCAGCGCGGCCAGTCCTCCCAGTTCCAGCGAAAACTCTGCAAGCCGCCAGAGCCTCCATTTGTCCATCTCTTCCAGAAGCAGCCGGGAGACGTGGGAGTTGCACCTGAGAACACTGGCAGGCGCTGCCCTTGCGCGGATCTGGGGGCCCCCCTGCAGGGTGGGAGTGGCGAAGCGGAAAAGCAGCAGCGACTGCAAGCCTGTGTCGGGGAGTGAGGCCACAGTTATCTCGGCCGCCCCAGTCTGGGACTGGAGACCTTGGCGCGCACCACAGCGCGGACACCGCGGGAGGAGCAGAACACAACCTCCTTTTCTCTTCCCTCCCACCTCTCACCTTGGGCTTGCTTTTCCTGACTGCCAGGAGGACACATCCCCCCTGCCCTCCTTCCCTGGTCGCCCCCACCTCTGCGGGCAGGGTCAGGAAAAGTAGTAGCTCCTTCCAACTTCTTGTCATTTTATCCCTTTGGGAGGCTGTGATCTGCGGGGGCAGCAGCCCAGTGCAGAGCTGACTCAATGGAGGCCTTTTGCAGCCAGGGTGTGGGAGATAAGGAGGACTGAGGGGGTTCCCAAGCCGGACAGAACCCCTCCTGGGCCTGTCCCTTGTCCTGCCCCCTCTGCTGCAGGTGGCAGTCTGAGGAAAGGACCACGGTGTTCCATGACCAAGGAGGGAAAAAGTAATGTCCCCTTCTGGATCACAGAGTAGGAGGGAGGTTTCAGTACAGAAGCAAGGAGGAATTTTCTCCCCTGCACAGGTTCTCCTAACAAAGTAACCTGGAAAATTATGGCAATTAATCAGAGGAAATCCGTCTCCCTCCCTCTTCCCCCACCTTCTCTCTCCATACACAATTAGGTGGTGTAATGGAAAGTATATAAGATTTAAAATCAGTGGCTCTGAATTCAGTCCCTGCAATGCCACCAATTTGTTGTGACTTTGATTAAACTGCTTTTCCTCCAGGGGCTCTGCTCTCAAATGTGAAATAAGGGATGTGACAGGGTGAAGAAATGTGACTTCCAATTTCTTTTCAGTTCTGACACTCCAGATCACTGATCAGAGGTGCTGCTTCTCTTCCAAGGCACAGGACACCTCACTGCAGGTGGGTTTGATTCCAGTCTGCAGTAAATGCTAGTAATAGTTAGTTGAATTTAATTCTTTAATTCAAAGGAAAGCCCCTGAGCTAAACTTGAGCTTGAAGGACCCAGGAGACCCTTTTGATTTTTAGCAGGGCTCATCTATTCTTGAGGATGCCACTCCCTTTAAATGTCACCCTAGAATAGCCCTGCCCTTGTTCTAGGACACCTGTCACATGCCCAAGACAATTGTACCCAGGCCCTCAGGTGGATGACTTGATGACCTGACAACTAGCTGCCCCTCTTTCAGTCCCCTTGTCTCTTTGCTTTGGCTCTTAGAACTTTTCACAGTGGGGTCACAGGAGCCAGGGTGAGGGTAGAGCCTTCTGTCTGCTGCCCAGCCAGCTCCTGGCCCTTAGCTCACCCCAGCCCTTCCTGCCTGGCTCAGTGGCTGACCCCCGGTCCACGCCTCAGCCATTTCCCGTCTCGCCTGCCGCCATCCTCCACCCTCCTTTCCCCGCCCCCAGGGCCTCTCCCAGCTTCACTCTCACTAGTCAGTCCCTCCCCAATGCCCCATCCCAGCTCTCCTGGTTGGGACGCCTCCTAAAGCACTGTCCTGCCAGCAGGTTAGTTTTCAGAGGAGAGTGTTGAAGGAGTCTTTAAGACTATAAAGTCTCTGTAGATGATGCCTGGCTCACTCTCCTAGGCTGCCAGAGGAGTTGGCAGTGCCCTGACACAGGTGGGAAGAGATCCTGCTTACCTCTGTCATTAGGCGGTCGGCACCACTGTTCTCCTCATCCTTGAAGATGATGTCGGGGTTGTAGTTGGGCACCAGGTCCCGGAAGCGCTCGGAGCCCCTTGCCACCCTCCCCTCGGCTGGCCCACTGGCGCCCAGGGTCCGCTCGGGCACGCTGGGCACAAATTGCTTATAGAGCAGTGGCACAGGCTGCTTGCGCCCATAGCGGCGCCGACCGACAGGTCCGCGGCCGGGTCCGCAGCTCTGGGCAGGCAGTGTCAGAAGTGCCAAGCAGCACAGGGGCAAGAGGCTCGCCGGCAGTGCCATGGGAGCAGCAGGCTTGAGCTAAAAGGGAGCGTCCTTGTCCTCACTAGTCCTCCTGTCAGTTCGACATCTCTACAGGCACCAGAGCGCGCAGCAGGCAGAGCTGCCCCCTCGAGCGCCCTAGAGCTCCCGCGGCTCTGCGCACCTGGCTGCCGCCAACTCTGCCCTCATGTCCCTGGAGGCCTGGAACCTGCTACTGATGGGCTACCATAGCAGTGAAGGGGGGTCGGGGTGAGTGCCAGCCCAGCCCGTTTCTACTGCCGGTCTCCGGCCCTGCCAGAATGCCAGGGCTCCGCCTTAAGTCCCCCTGGCCACGCCCCCCGCCCTTCTCCCAGGGCTGTCCCTCCCCCTCGTACCCGGGCGGGGGATCCAGCTGGTCACTACTGTTCCATTTCTCCACTGAAGTGTGTTCTATCCTGGAAACCAAGCAGGCACCTGCCTAGGAAATCCTTGCAGCTTTACAGTCCTTGGCTGCCTGGATAAGCATCCTTGTACCTCCAAGCCTAAATTTGGAACCAATCATCCTCCTCTGATACTTGAATTGGGTCTTTGCTCTTCTAAAGCCTACCCTGGCAGGCCATGCCCTCTGTGTCATCCAGGAAGCTTGGGTTCCAATTTCTATCCAAGGCCAAATCCTTTGGGCATACAAGCAGAGCTTCTTTCTCTATAAACCTCCCCAAACCTATCTCAGTTGGCACTCAACAATAAGCAGGACTAGAAGGCATGGGTCCCAGAGGGTCATTTTTGCCTTGTAACTTTATAGTCTTCCCCAGAATGAGGAACAGAACTTGGTAGTGAGCCTGGTTTAGTATTCCCAACTTTGGTGCCCTTTCAATCCTTGCCAGACACCCAACCCCACTTCTCTCTGAACAAATAACCTGTCATTTGGAAGCTGTTGAAGGGCAGTGGGCACCAAAAAGTCTTACTTTGTAACAGGCCCATGGTTACTCCGCTTCACCTTCCACCTAGGCACCTCTCTGGGATCTTAGGAATGCTGCTCCCTGGCAGAGCTGTGGTGCAAGAGGCTTATCCACACGACAGCATAAGCCAACTGTTTACCAGCCAGGAATCCAGCTCAGAGCTCAGAGGTCCCATATCAGAGGAATTCACCCACCAATTTTGATCATTTATAAACTGACTCCAAGAAGCCTTTTCTGGTGTCTCAGCAGGGCCCACCAGTGTCCCTTTGAAAAGCAGCAATTAACTGCATGGTAACATTGCATGGACAGTGTTACTTTGGCACCCCTCTAGACAAAGCAGTTTTTACCACAGCTTGTTTATCATGGGGCTCAAGGCTAAAGGCCTGCCCTACAGTATGGTGCTTAGCAAGTATCTGTGGAATTTGCACCCTCCCCTCACCCCACTCCACTGTTAGCACGCACAGCAACTTTGTGTAACTTAGAAAAAGCAATCCTTTCTCAATGGCTTCCATTTACAAAAAAAAAAAAAAGGATTTGGCTTCCATCTTAAAAAAAAAAAAAAAAGGGATGTGGCACAGCAGTAAGCACCTGCCTACCATGTGGGAGGTCCTGTGTTCAATCTCCAGCACTGAAGGGGGAGGAAGACAAGAAAATGGCCTATTATACATACGATGACTATGAGGTGGTCCTAGAAATTAGACAATGTGGTCTGCATAGCACAAGGCAAAAAACACTTTGTCCTTATTCCCAACAGTGAAGGGACTTCAAGGAAATGAGACTGCAAAATTAATACTTTTTTTTTTTTTTTTTTAGGTGGGGACAGGATCTTGCTACACAGGCCAGGCTGGCCTCGAACTCAGGGTAATCCTCTTGCTTCAGCCTCCAAAGAGCTGGGGTTACAGACATAAGCCATTGTACCTTGCTCTCTCCTCTCTCTCTCTATATATATATATATTTTAAATTTTATTTTATTGGGGCTGGGGAGTTAGCTCAGTGGCATAAGCGCCTACCTTGTAAGCAGGCAGTCCTGAGTTCAATCCCCAGTACGGATAAAAAAAGGAAAAAGACAAAAAAAAAAATTTTTATTTTATTTATTTTTTTTGAGACAGTCTCACTATGTAGCCCAGGCTGGTCTTGAACTCACTGCAATCTTTCTCCTGAGTACTGGGATTACATGTGTATACCACAACTGTCTCGAAGCTAGGCTCTTTTCTGAGATATGATTAATCCTTGCCAGGCAGCACTACCCAACCCTTTAAAATTTGCAATAGCGAGATTAACTCAGGGGCCCAGTGCTGAGCTACATCCCTAGCCTTATTTTGACACAAGATCTCATTAAATTACCCAGCCTGAGCATTAAATGCATGACCTTCTGCTTGCCAGGCAGGTGCTGTGTCACTGAGCTATATCTCTGGCTCTATTATCTCACTACATAGTTCACACTGGCCTTAAATTCAGGATGTATTAAACTCAAGGCCATTCTCCTGCCTCAGCCTCCCAAATATGGGATCACATGTGTGAGACAGCTTGCCTAGCTACATCCCCAATTCTTCAGATACAAGACCCTGAGTGTAAGGATCAGTCAGAAATAACAAGCCTTAAACAAGGCTGCCCAATTGTACGGTCTAACACCAACTCTGTGTTCCCACAGGACACTAACAGTGTAGCAGAGGAGAATGCAAGAACGGTGGCAGGTCCTCTGTTTGCCTTACTTGGTAGATTCAAGATAGAGGAAACAAGGTTGTTCAGACAGACACAGAGACAAGCTTAAAAAACAACAACAACAACAAAGCAAACCCGGGGATCAACTTTATTGCTGATGAGTGCAGCCTCTTTCTCCCTATGCTCTCAGTTTCTCCAGTGGTCCAAAGCCCCTAGGGGACAGCACAGTGCTTAGGCTCTGCTGGACAGAAGCAAGGGAGACAACCTGCCTCCTAAGCCTGCCCTGGCCCAGTCCCTCCCACCCTTACCCTACCCTATTGCACATCAAGTCATGTAAACATGGCTATGGGCATGGCCCGGAACAGCAGTGAGGCAGATTGATGTATAAATGGATTTGGGACCAAGAGCCAGACCAGTCACCCAGCCATATCCCATGCTGAGGCTATAGTCTAGAAAATAAAAGAATCCTGGTCCCAAACTCTGGCTCAGATTATGCGTCAGTGAAGATGGCTCAGTTCCCCTCGGCTACCCATCCCTTCAGATTCCAGGTCCTGAGGTCCAACACCCTTGGGCTCCCCTCCAGGCCTAGGCAGCAGGTGGCAGCATCTAGTTTTCTCCTTCTTCCCCCAGATAGAGGTCACTGATGTTGACTCTTCCTAGATGACCGAGGAAAACCAGTGACAGGCAGCGGCAGCCTGTCTAGCCCTGGAGAAGGGGAGATGGGCAGTTGAAAGTGGGACACAGGTCCACTTCCTCAGGGACAAGCTAGGCGAACCACAGAACCAGGTGGTCCCCAGTGAAATATGTTGGACATTAGGCAGGAAGCTCAGCCTCTTTCCTGAGAGCATGACAGGTCCAGGTGCCCTGCTTTATACCATCCCACTTCTCACCAAAGGCCTGGATCAGCTCTGCGCGCACAGCCGCAGTGAAGGTCTTCACCAGACAGAGTGTGGTGAGGCCAGCAAAGGCTGCATTGTAGAGGAACACGATGTAGAAATTGCCCAGCCAGTTGAAGCGTCCAAAGTCACCCAGCAGGTCAAAGCGAGTGAGTCCTGGAGTAGAACAAACAGGATGAGAAGGGGGCTCCCAACCCTCTCCTGGTAGGAGCCCAACTTTCTGCTGCCTCCTGGTGGACACAGCTTGGACAGCTCTGCACTGTATGATAGGCTGGGCTCCCCATTCATGTCCTGCAAGCTTTATTTTCTTATTTTTATTTATTTATTTTTTGTTGAGACAGAGTCTTGCTGTAGTTCAGGCTGGCCTTGAACTCATAGTGATCCTAAGGTATCCAAATGCTGGAATTAAGACCTGAACTACCAACCACACCCAGCTCCAAACTCTATTTTATTTTAAGGCCACTTTCCCAGCTATTGAACAAAATGTCAGCAGGGTAGCTCACTCCAATTTCCCTTTCAGAGTCTAGCTTCTTTTCCTCCAATAGGTTCTGCTCTGGCACCAGGTGGCCCTAGGAAATACCAAGCCAACTTGTTCCTGCGCTAGGAATCTGCAAACTGGTCACTAAGTATTCTTTAAAACACAAAGCAGTACAGGAGCTAAGAGCTCAGGCTGTGATAGGACTGCTCTGGTTCATTTTTCAACTCCACCTGACTAAGCTACGTGGTCTGGGAAAAATTCCTCATCTCTCTGTGACTCCTCGATTACAAAATGAAGAATGGGACTGAAAGAATTAAATTAGGCAACACACATAAAGCCCTATAGATGTGAAATACTATTCTAATACTAGACTTTGATAACAATAGTATTAATATTATGAATCAAAGATCTGATCCCCATCCAAATATTGCTACCTGTATCCAATCTAACAGAACTAATAGACCCACAAACATACTTTCCCACTAAATTCCCAAAGCACAAATAGAAGTAACATCCCGGTGAAGACTATAGGCTGAATCTCCTTAATACTGGGAAAGCTTTCTTTGGGGGAGAAAAAGAGTACTAGGGAACATTACACTACGCTACATCCTCAGCCCTGTTTATTTTGCGGGTGCTAGGGATTAAACTCCATTCCCAGCCCTTTTTATTTTGAAACAGGAATAGTTGGGCAATCTAACTTGCAATCTTCCTGCCTCAGTCTCCCAGAGTGCTGGGCCAGGCTGAGCAGTTTGTTTTATTTCGATATAGGGTCTCCCTATGTCACCCAGCTCAAGTTACCTTCCTACCCAAGTCTCCCTAAAAGAAGCAACCCCTGGTTTGGGGCAGTTTGGATTCAGATTTTTGGATTAGGGATACCCAATCAGTAAAGTTAATGCAAATATCCCTGAATCCAAAAAACACAGAATCTGACAAACTTCTTGTTCTAAGCATCTCACATAAGGGATATTCAACCTGTGTAAATTTAAGAACTAAACAGGTGACTAAAATACAAATTATACTGCACAGAAAATGATGCAGTATGTGTGGGATTATTATTCTGTAGCTCCCACACTACATTGGACAAAACCAGTCATACTTTTTGGACTTTTTTTTTTTTTTATCAATTCTAGACCAAAGCTCTAAAGGCAGCATAAAGACTGAAAACATTATGTGATGTTCCAGTAAAGGGAGAAATCACTGGCCTGGGGTTCAGGAAACAAATGCTCTAGCCTAATGTGGCCTTGCCTCCAACTAGCTATAATAGCTCAGGGTAAGCTGGGCATAGTGGTACACATCTGTAATTCCACTGCTCTCTGGGAAATTTAATGAGACCTGTCTCAAAATAGAAATTAAATGCCAATCCCAAATCCTAGCATTTGGGAGGCTGAGGCAGGAGGACTGCTGTGAGTTCAAGGCCAGTCTGGGCTACAAATAAATTCAAGGCCAGTCAGAACAGCATAGTGAAACCCTGTCTAAAAAGATGATAAAGACAATAAATCAATAAATAAACCCCCACAAAATAGAAATTAAAACATGGGCTGGGGAATGTAGTGTGAAGGCCAACGGTTTAGTTCTCAGTTGCATCAAATGAACAAACAAGTGAACTAACTCTGAGGTCGATCAATAAGCTTTTTCTGTTCTTTATTTTTCTGAGATTTTTTTGGGGAGTGGTGCTAGGGACTGAACCCCAAGGCTTCATGCATGCAAATAAGAATGTTTATTAGATAATCCAAACAATAGTACTCTGAAGCTTAAGGTAAGTACTTCAGAGTCTTTGTTTCCTCATCTGTATAAAGTGGTATCTCTTAAATCTGTTTTGGGAATCAGAGAAAAGTATATACATGCGTATGTGTGCCCACTGGCATAGTGCCTGCTAAGCAGTAGCAGGCACTGAAAAGAGTCAAACCTCTTACGTCCTTTATTTTTTTTTTTTTTTCTTTTTTTGTCTTTTGAGACAGCATCTTCCTATGCAGTTTAGGTTCCTTGAACTCACTTTGTAGCCCAGGCTGGAACTTGTAATGATCCTCCTGCCTTGGCTCCGGAGTGCTAGGATTACAGGCATGTGCTCCATGCCCAATTACCCTTTACCTCCTTTTGCTACTTACCCAGAGTTCGAGAGAAGACGGGAAGTGCTGAGCTTAGGACCAGGAGACAGACAGAGTTTCCAATTATCTGAATGGGCACAGGGAAAGGAGAGGCGTGAGTAGCAGAAGCGCCCATACCCAGTACCCACCCATGCCACCAGGAAGTTCCTCTCTTCTTGCTCACTTACCTGAGTCATGGCTGTATCTCGCCATCTAGGCAGCAGTCTCCTGAAAAGTAGAGAGCTGTAGAAGCCCACAACTGAGGACACCATCAGGTAACTGAAACTGGGTTAGGGAAGAACTTGCCAGCTCCCAGGATGTATGAACACCTCATCTCACAGGGAATGAACCTTTCTCCCAGCCCTGTTTTTTTTTTGGTTTTTTTTTTTGCCTTTTTCATTTTTATCAGTACCAGGGATTGAACTCACAACCGCACACTTGCAAGGAAGGCACTTAGGCCGCTGAGCTAAATCCCCAGCCCCCCCAGCCTTGCTTTTTTTTGTCTTTTTCCTTTTTATCGGTACCAGGGATTGAACTCACGACTGCCTGCCTGCTTGCAAGGCAGGTGCTTATGCCCCTGAACTAAATCCCCAGTCCTGAGCCCCTGAGCTAAATCCCCAGCCCCGAGCCCTGCTTTTAAAGTCAGTCTTTTTCTTCTTCCTGAACCATGGTTAGTGAAAGCTTGCACTTCCCC